TCAACCGGAACCCAGTGCCCACTTAGGTGCCTGTGCACAAGCTCTCGACTTTGTACCCGGACTCTGATGACGTACCCCAATTATGGTGTGGATAATAAAAAAGGGTGTGTTCACATTACTGTCCAGTGAGTACCGTCATTGGGCAAGAACTGTGAACAGCCTTAAAGCCTGGTTCACACACAAGAGCCAACGACTTTCATACGTCAAAATCAAACGCAAGGAAGGCAAAATACTCAGGCGCAGTCAAGGACAGTCAAACTTTTTCCAAGATGGCGGTCAAGAGTAAAGCTTAGCCTCAGAGTGCTTAAGGGACGAAAAAAGTACCTATTCAATGCAACAGAAAATATTCGCTTATACGGTATTCAGTTTACCTGATTGTATTTACTGTTTATATTTTTTATCGTAATACATACGGTTTTTTTGTCCCTTGGTTCTTTTGCAAAATCTTTTCAGGCAAGAGTTTTCTTCAATTTATCTGCACAACGTTTATCATAAAGCACCGTATATTTCCTTATACTATCTGCTAATTTCTCGTCTAAAATGGAAGAAGCCATCTCGCTTTTAACCTCAATGCGCCGTGGTGGCATGGCACCGATGGAGCCTGTTTTTTTATTATCCCTGCGTTTGCATTTGCGTTTGCGTTTCCTCGGTTCACATGTGTGAAATGCAAACGCAAGCGCAAATGAAAGCGAACGAAATTGAAACTTTTTCCATTTCTTGCTTTGGCGCTTACGTTTGTGTTAACATTTGCGTTGAAGTAGTTCACACGTGTATTTTCTTGCTTTTGCGTTTGCATTAGCGTCGCACGTGTGAGCAAGGCTTAAGACATAATCCATCATTTACCTCACTTTACTATCGTACACTCCAAAGAACTCTGGTTGTCTCGCGCACCAAATTTTGATGACATATTCCAGAGCGGATTTTCCCGTCGGGTCAGGAACGCTGCTTAAGAAATCCAGGGTCATCTGAAGCTGAGTGTTCATCAGATGGAGAAAGGAAAGCACAAGCGACTGTGAAATAAAAAGGGAAAAAGCGTTAGGCTTCAGAAACTGGCTTCAGAAACTGGTTGGTTGTTTCATTACCCCATAGTCCAATCAAATCATTGATCTCGCGTCATGTGACGTGCAAGCAGACATAGAGGTACCCTCGTTTTCGCGCCAGTTATTGAAGGTAATTGGAAAGACCAGGAATGTCGCAAGGGTCTTGGGTGTCTAAATCCTCCACCATATCCTCCACTACTTCTCCCTGCCTGTTTTGCTCCTTTTGTTAACTCGTTTTCATTTTACCGCCTTATTGGCATAAAAGACAAAATGAAACGGCTGTTTGCCTTGAACGCGGCAACTCATATCGAAACTGGCAAGAAAAATCTGATCGCAAGGAAGTCTCCGCAGCAGGTGTTTTTAGTAAACGCCACGAGTAAGCTTTCTATTAACATCGAACCTATTACTGCTTCTCTCTCCTCTGCAGAGGCTCCCGCTCGGTATCCCCATAAAAATAGCAATAATCGAAAAATAGAAAGCGCGCGGGGGACGATGGGAAGAGGGAAAAGGCGAGGAGGCCTCTCTTCTTTCTTTCCCCTTCCCATCGTGCCCCGTGCGCTTTCTTTTTTTCTCCCCAGCCTCCCCACAACACAAGGAGGCCTCTGCGTAGGAGTGATTTATTATAAAAGAAAACAATGGGGTAGAAAAGATGACGCAGTGGTGAGAAAGTCGCCTTCCACCCGCGTGGCTCTGCCTCGAATCCCAGTACCGAGTCGAGTATGTTGTTGGTTCAATGACAAATGTTAATGTTCAATGTTAAATGACATTAAACATCACTTATTGTCGGTTAACCTATAAACTTTATTTACACTTCATTTTTACGCAGCTAGCACAAGAATGGCCTGCAAGTAGCGAAAAGATAGTCGCGGCAAGCCAGAGTGTACACAGTTACCTGAATTATGCTCAAGGTTTCGGCTTTTTGTAGTTTGCTGAGGACAGCTCTTAGCAACAGATCAAGGTTTTCTCCAAGATTACTACCAATCTGTCCCAAAAGAACATAGTAAAGGCTCAGTTTTTTTATTTGAATGGAAATATATCAATTGACTTACGTTTTGAACTGCGGAAGATTTATTGAACGATCTTTGCTAAACGTTTTTATACTTATTTGAATATTACAAATTGTACGTTTTTGTCTTGGTTTGAAGACCATAAATTTAGTCTTATTAAGATTCAGAGAAAGCTTGTTTGCTTTAAACCAGATTGACAGTTTGTCCATCTCCAAGTTTAACATATCTAAAAGACAGTTCGGATCTTTATGTGACATGAATACATTGGTATCGTCGGCGAACAGCATCAGACATAATACACTAGAAGCATTGAATGTACAGTAAGAAAAATAGAGGTCCGAGGATAGAACCCTGAGGAACCCCACTAGAGATTTCATTTCTTAACGAACGGCGGCCATTATATAAAAGAGGATATAATCGTCGCAATTGTAATAGCAATTTATGCAATTTCAACTTTCCCCTGTGTTCCGAAGGAGTTTTTGTTTGTCTGCTGTTTATTTCACTGGTTGATAATTTGTTGTAAATATCATCCTATGAGCTAATCCACCTTTAGCCGAGTTATCTGTAATTTCGTGGAAGACAGGAAATCGTCGCAGAAAATTCCGCGCGCTTAATCTTTAGTTACTTCATGCAACAGTGCCTAGGTTCCAAGATAAATAATGGTTTCACTGACCTTCTTAATAAGCGTAGTCACCAGTCTACCGACAAACGATGCTGAGAACTCCGAACCCCTGGGATCTAGAAGATGTGACGTGGCTCGGACAATGTAAGAAATGGCGCTGTTACCTTGAGCGTCGTGCCTGAAAGAAATTATGAGAAAATGAAAATTTTTTTAAAAAGACACATGTTGAGTTAATATGGTAAGCAATGTGGTGATTTACGCCCTAGTGTAAGTCTATCAAGCGTTCTTCTTCATCATTCCGCCATAAACTAACCTCGTTCCCAGAAATCCACGCTAAAACTAAAGTAGACAGACGCAAGTGAGCTATGGGAACGAGCATAAGAAACAAACTTACAATCGGACTCTACAGCGCCTGCGCCATTTGCCGCTGGGTGGCGGCAGGATCATAACTCCGAACTTCTTCCGAATCCTACCGAACAGAACCAGAGTATTGAATGCCGAAAATCGTGCGTTCTTTATGTGGGTATGCTTACAATTCTTTGTTGAACTCAATGAACGCCGTCTGACGGTCTCTGAGCGCACCTGGTCACCAAACGTAGTTTTGTCATTGTAAAATATCGTCTTGTAACGCACGCTTGGTTTTTACATTGTAAAAACTAGAGCAGTTTTTCTAGCACTTCTCACACGTAAACTTTTCGAACTCGTGATCCGGCGCCTGATTGCGAGTACGAAGCGCTGACCAAGACTCGGCCACTCTCCCCACAAACTTAAACAGTCCATAACAAAGAACTAAGGAAGCATTAGCAAAGCTACTCACCAAGCAATAATTTGTTCAGGAGAAACGTAGACAAACGCTCGCAGGCATTGACCACCACTCTTTCATAAAAACAAGAAAGGAACAAAAACACGAAAAAATATCAATTTAATACCACATTGGAATAAACGATTCGCCAGGGCAAACTGCGACAGACTTCTCCCTGAAACTATCATTGGCCTATTGCATTTAATACCCGCCAGGGTGCAAAGAAAGTCATTTTTTACAGCTTGCCATTCGGACAAGCTGAAGCTAGCATTTACTAACGCAAACGTCATTTCAACCAGCCCCCAAATTTTTATGATGAGAAGAATTGATTTCACAGTTCTTCTGTAAGTTGAATTCCTCAAGATACTTCACGTTAAGAACAGAATTCACTAACCCGACTAGCCCCGGGCTACCAGACACTACTTTCTTTGCACGCTGCCCGCTCCCCCGCCTCGCCTCGCGCCCCCCGGTTGAAGACCGATGGAATTCTTCAGGGGTAAATGTAAGTTTATGGAGGATTTCGTTTGAGGCAGAAACAAAGAATATGGAATTCTTCAGTGGAGAACAAGGAAAAAACACCTTTTTCACGAAATTCTTCAGGGGTAAACCAACACTCTTCGGGGGTAGACCCATATTTTCTGGAAGTCTTCAGGGGTGAATGCAATTTTATGGACTTCTTCAATGGTAAGAAGAAAAGTGAAGTCCTCAAGCAGGGGTAAGGATATCAATTGCAATCGCCCATTCTTACAACTTCGCTCTGCACTGTTACCTTAAGAATAAGTGGGTTGATTAGATGGTATGTGTAATTTATATGTCAACCATCATCATCATCATCATCATCATCGTTAACGAAGTATTAACAAACGTGAAATTGTCCCTAAAGGCGCCCCCTGAAAAGTACCGCAGACTATAAGTGTCGATTATTTAAACGAAGTCTAACTTAAGCCGCGGTTTCACAAATCTTTGGACCTCAACATCTCTTCCTTATGGGGTTAATTTAAGAAGATAAATACTTTTCTTGTGTACTCTGTATGCTTTCATAAAACTGTTCACAATAAATGGTGTGGAGATAGAACCGTCGGGCAAATTGAAAATGGCTTAGAACGCTGTTTTGTTAAACATTGGCTAAACTACGTTTAAATAACTGGCCCTTAACAGTCTGGAATGAGATATAATATACCTGCAAGAGTGCGTTATCATCTGAGGCGAGAATCGTGTTTATCACTACTGGAAATACGGTGTTTAACAGTGGTTCAGAGAGAGGAGGTTGAGTACACTGGATGATGTAGCCGAGAATGTCCATACAGATCTATAGGACAAAAACGAGAGTTCAGATAGGACAAAAAACAAAACATCTACCCGTGAAACACACATTTTCAGTCGTGCAACGATTTGCAGCCTTCATGCTTTTAAGTTGCCTGAGAAACATCCGACATTTCACGTCGAAATCACAGGTTTTCACGCGAAATGACTTCTAAGGAGACGAAAGCAGAAATTCCAAAGTGATGACGGGTCACTAACCGGAGCAGAATAGTGCTTCTGATTGGTTGAAGCAAATTTCCCGCGCAGCGGCATGACCAATCAGGATAGTGACACGTCATCAGCACGAAATTTCTGCGATGGTTTCTCAGACGTCATTTCTCGGGGAAACGTGCTTTGGCGTCGCGAATTGTGGGCTGTTTTCACCGGCTAGCTTTCATATAAACCCACTTTACGCCGCTATAACGCAGAAATGTAACCACTAAGCTTAAATAAACAATTGGTTATACTTGTAACGCACAAAAAGACGAAATTCCATACCCAAGTATGCGCGTCCTCGAAGCTACAATCGGGGATAAAATTGTTGATACATTGTCCACAAATGGGGTAACTTCGGACAACAAAACAATCCACACCCCTCTCCCATCCTCTCCATTCAAAGTTGGGTTGTTTGGTGTTTCCTACAGATAGCTCGAACAGTGACACAACATTGCATGGAGGGGGTAGGGGAGGGAAAGCTTTATTTTCCCCTTTTGAAGTCACGGCAAAATTTCAGGAAGGCCCTTTAAAGCGAAGTGTCTCAACTTATTTTGTCGTCAATTTGAAGGTGTCCCCTGCAACGAACTCTGTAATTCGATCAAATTTGTAGGACCTATCAGATCTATCTTTTCCTTTTCAGATAACGCATTGTAAGTTAATCAGACGCTCCTAAAGGGGTGAGGAATCCTTATTTCTAATTATGATCTCCTACAGCCGCATAACAAACAAAAATGATTCGTGCCAACGTTTCTAGGGTATGAAATGAAATCTGTTGTAGTCTTCTCCAATTTTGCAAACCCAAGCCCCATTTCGGCTTTTCGGTGTTTCTCTGATCTTACGTGTTATCAAGGAGGCGTGTATGGCCGAGCGGTTAACACCTCGAAAACTGGATCTGGAGGTCCGGGTTTCAAGCCTCGCCCGTCGCGTTGATTCCTTAGACAAGGAACTTTACTCCACTTTGTCTCTCTTCACCCACGTGTATAAATGGGTACCGGCGACACACTGCTGGGGGCTAACCCTGGACCAATATCCCGTCCAGGGGGAAGTAGCAATACTCCTAGGCATGCTTCATGCTACGGAAACCGGTATAAGCTCCGACCGTTCGGGCTTTTGGCTCGTGTGTGCCTTTACCTTACCTACGTGTTATCAAGTGCTCAAATACTCACAGCGTTGATTCCCAAAGGGGTCTTTTCTGGTGGTGCTTGGAATATACTGACTAATGTCGGAAGAAACCTCTCCATTAAAAGCTGAAAAGAGACGTTGAAAAGCGCAAATCATTCATTGGCTGAAGTAACCTGCGAGCAAGTTCTCCTATTTGGGCAAGCGAAGCGAGCCTCGCGTGCCCCTCGCAGCTTGGCCGCTCGCTCGCGCGTTCTCGCGAGACTCGTTTCACTCGCCCTTGCTCGCAGGCTATGGTTGAAGTGACGCTCTCGCAAGGCACTAGAAGGGACGACGCGTTTAAACTTCATTCTCTTTTTATCATCTCGTTGACAAAATGCCTATCAGAGCGTTGCTGTTGCTTCAATCCAACGATAGTTCACGACTCAGTTTTTCAAGCAAATACAATAAAGATTGAACTTCTAATTGCCTTAAAATTCTACTACTCTTACTACTCTATTGGACGTATAATTAAGAGCGCTTTCTAGTGACTTTTATTTAGGTATGAATTGTCTCTACTTGCCACTATGAGCTGAAAGGTCGCATTTACTTCAGCCAATCAGAGAAGAGGATTTGCGATAAAATACAAGCAGAGGAATTGCTTCAAGGCTCTGCTTCAAAACGAGGGCAGGTACGAGGCCTTTGATATAAAAACGATTCTTTTGATACTCACGCAAATAAAAGTCATTTTCACAGTAAAGGGTTTGGAACTGTGAAATGTCCGATATATTTTCCTAACTAAAAGTTGCTGATAGTGATTCAACTAGTTCCACGTATTCTAGTACCTCAACACAGGCTTATATTGCCGCAAACACCTTACCTTATTGCAAGATTCAATCATCGCAAGTTCCTTAAACAAGTCTTCTATTAACGGTATAAGAGCAACATCTAAAAGGGGAAAAAAGCGAAAAGAGAACAGGCCTTAAGCCACCGACTTTCTACACCATTTATTTTGCGAGCGAGCTCTCCATTTCGACTCGTGAGCGACGCGAGCTACGCGAGGAGTCGCGAGAGGCGGCTCTCCTTTCAAGCTCTCGTGTCTCCTCTCGCGTGCCGCTAGCGCGCGACTTCTCACAATATCAACCAAATGAAGAGCTTGCCCGCGGGCTAAGCACCATTAAGCTCTAAATACAATTCTTTCTTGTAGACACTAACCATGGGCATACTTGATAAAAAGCGCTATGGTTAACGGTGTTATTCTTGCTTCACAAGACGTTGTAAATTCCTTATTAACCTGCAGACAAACCACAGAAAATAGTTTTCTGAATACGTTTGATGTAGCGAGCAAAGAGATTAATGAAGAAGAGCCCTCAAATGAAGGAGGACTCAGTCAATTTAGCGAAACGCAGTGCAAGTACCAAAAAGAAAGAAAGACTGACAGCGTGCAAAGAAAGTCGTGTCCGATAGCCCGGGCTAGTGGATTTTGCTATCTGGCCAGTGGTTTTTGTTCTTAACTTGCCCGACGGGCAAGTGCTGTTTTTTGGGAATTTCAAATTACAGAAGGATTGTAATCAATCCTGCTAATCAAAAGGGTTTTAGGGCTAGTTGAAATGACTTGTGGGCTAGTACATACTGGCTACAGCTTGCCCGAATGGCAGGCTGTAAAACTGGCTTTCTTTGCAGCCTGACTGAACAAGACTAGGGTTATTGTTCTTACGTCCCTGTTTTGGATAAGAGGAATGATTATCTGACATTGAGATTTGAGCGCAAACAATTTGTACTGTGATTTAGTCACTGTACAGGAAGTGTTCGTTGTTTGTGTTTAACAATGTTGTCAAGGCTTTGGTTTAGACTTGACTGTGAAAGTGGGAAGGAAAAGGTGCAAGGGTGGGGGGTATCGACAACTTTTTTGTCTTACCCGGAACATGTTTTGGGATTTCAACGCCCATAAGTCTTCTGAGTCATTCACACAGGATATTTACTATCTGCAAAACCACTGGACAGATTTCATCTTGGAAACTTTTTTGTTTAATTAAAAATATATTTATCATGAAAAATCTGACCGGTTTCCGTAAAACTGTGGAAACCGGTGTCGATTCGCGCCTGCTAGCCAACCCGAATAGTATACCCAGACTATCTGTTTCCCGCTTCTCTCGTCCCTTGACAAGCAAGAACAACACTCACCGACATAACAATCCTAAGAGATTCTAAAACCAGCGCGAGAACGTCATCAGTTGACTGTGTTGCCAAGGTGAGTAAACCATCCATGATCTTGGGCAGAAATGGAGCAAGAATCTGAGTGTTTTCTGAGACCTTTAGATGTGCACAAAATCTGCAATCAAGAAACAAACATACAGTAGAATCCCGCCAAGTCCTGCTTTCATTTCATTTCTCTTGGATTTAACCCCACTTTTCAGTCATTTTTAATACTCGGATAACTCTCGTTGTCGTCGTCGTCGTCGTCATCATCATCATCATCATCACCATCACCATCACCATCATCATATTACAGTCGACTCCCGATAACTCGAACCCTCGCTAACTCAAACCTCGCGCTAACTCGAACCAAAATCGATTTCCCCTGGATTTACGTCATACATTCACAGTAATTTTACCCTCGGTAACTCGAACCCTCGATAACTCGAACTCCCGCTAACTCGAACCAATTTTCGTTTCCCCTCAGGTCATTTTCTATATAATTTAACCTTCGATAACTCGAACCATGTTTTGAGCCCTTAAAAAGTAGGGAAAAAAGCCGTCTACGGGCGTCCGAAACATTGAATTTTGGATTTCCTATTGACGTGTTGTAGGAGTATAGTTTACTGGTGGAGGCTGATGTTGATTGTCACAGGCTAACGTGAAGCAGCTTTTCTTCTCAAAACAGTAAATTAAGGCTATGTTTTTTTACGTTACGTTCTTATTTATAATCTAGAAGTAGCTTTTAATTTTCACTTGACATTTCTACAATTAAATGTGATTAAAATGTTCACTGTGCAGTAAAAACTGCTTTTTACCTTACTCTCGATCGGCTCTTTTCTTCGAACTCAGTCCCGATAACTCGAATCTTTTTTCGATTTCCCTTGAAGGTTCGAGTTATCGGGAGTCGACTGTAAATCATAGTGAAAGACGATTTGAAACGTTCAGTATTTTCTTTTCGATAAAAACCCGTTGTGACAATTCAGTCCCTTTAAAAAACATTTCTAAAGGAAAGTTCTACTTTATCCTTACTTTACAAAACCCCAATCTACAAAGACTCATTTGTCTAAAAGCACAGACCTACCACTTACGGTACTCACTTACTCGTATACAGCTCGGACAGCCGATATTCTGATTGCAGGGACTTGCGTGGATTGAAGGCCCGTCACCGATGCTTCAATAAAACTGAAATGAAAAGAAAGAAGACGGGACTCTCCAGTAAGCGAAAATTTGTTTCAAAGAGAAAGTTGATAAGGTTATCTGAACAGCAAATTCAAGAGCTGTTGTTTCGAGTGTTAAAGGGGCGTGGTCGTGCAAGTTTTTGGCAATTTAGGCAACTACCAAATAATCACAAAGTGGACTGAAATATCAAAATAATTACTTCAGACTGAAGACGAACACAAGAGGAATATAATAAAGCCAGATAGAAGTAAGAATGGGTAAAACTGGAGAGTGATGATTTTGTCAATAAAACGCGTTTCTTTCGACAGTTTGTAGTTTACATCTCGTGCTCAGCAAAAATTTAGGAAAGTAAGAACAAGGGCTATAAACCTTGCTTATACGTTCGTCTTAAGAGGGGTGTTTACTCAGGCTACGTCCGTTTGTATTCTTTTCCTGGTGTCGGTGAATGTTGTCGCAAAAGAAACTGTGGAAGTGGAGCAGCAGGAGGAAAGGGCATATCTGAAGGGGGCACAGGGGGTACTCCCTAGAATGGCCTATACGAGGAGGCTCCGCCCGTAAGGGTACCCTTTTCAGGCTTCAAGTATGTGAAAGGGTAGGGAAATCTGTCATTCTGGTTTATCGACTTATTCATATTTAAAAGGTATAAAGGTGATGTTACACGGGACAATTCGCAACGACGATTTTTAGCGCAACACAGCGTTGGAATGTTGGAACAATGTTGTAACCATTTGAAACAATGTCGCAGCAACGTTGGCACGCTAACATCGTTTGGTGTAACATCACCTTAAGTACATAAGTATGTAAAAGGGGTACCATTTGTCAACAAACGGTATTCAAAAGGGGTAACCTTTTCTGTCACAAATGGTATATAAAAGGGTAATATAAGGAGTTGAATCTCGGGGCGGAGCCTCCCCGCATAAAATTCTGTTCAGTACCCCTGGAGGGAACTCGACGCACTCCACTCACCTTGCTAGAAGTTGCTGAGTCATGAGAGGAGTGAAACGACTTGCCACCCACAAAGCTTGGCCAATTAGGAATGGCGACACTGAAAGGACCAGAACAAATCTACATAAGAAATTTACTCCTAGCTCCAAATGCACGTGTCTCACAGTTTTTGGTACATTTCTTTGATGTTCTCTGCACGACCAGGACGAGACATTAAGGAGATGTTAGGGAATTTAAGATGTGCCGACGGCGACGGCAACAAGAACGTCAAAAAAGCAATACGCTTAAATTAGCAAAACAACAACTCTGCACGTGCAGCACACTTTTCTGTACATTTCTTTGCCATCACTGCACTGCACGCCCACGACATGAAATTCCCACGAGCGACGATTTATAGAGGATGTAAACAAAAGACAACCAAGTTTTCTTTTTCGTCTTAAACTTGGGTTAGTTCCCCAAGAATTCAGTTCCAGTAACATTTACCTACATTTGGTATTTTAAGCGAGTAATAATAGTCGCGACAAAGTTTGAAAAAAGCAAAGTCTTTTTAATAGCGACGATTTGGCTGTTGTCGCCGTTGCTACAGCTTCCTATTTTGTAATGCAAAGTTTTGTGGAGGACTAACCACACGACGACGAAGATTTTTCTTTCTCTATCTTAACTTGTGTGCGGTCTCAAAGAATTCAACTCCACAAAAATCCACCTACATCTGGCGTATTGAGGGAGCTGGATTAACCGGAACGATGTTCGGAAAAACGCCCATTCATTTCATCATATTTGCATGGAAAAGGCGCGTTATAAATTTTTAATTATGATTATTATTATTGGGGGCGATGTAGCGTTAAAAAAGCTCGCCATTATTATTAAAGTATAACATAAAAGAACCAAATATTTTGCATTTGGAAGTTATTTCACTTGTATTGAAGGTTGTTCACCATTTACAAAATGTTCGAAACGAAAATTCGTGTTCCGTTCCTTCAACCCCATCTTTAATACTAGTTTCAGGATTTCGCGGCCGTCGAACTGATTTGAATCCAGAATCCAAGACTGTCTTGGATTACTTAACATGAGGTGAGTCTGTAACTCTTACTGGTCAGCAGCACGCGTAATTTAGGACACGACTTCCCGGCTATTAATTTAAGAAAAAGAGAAAGTTCTAGTTGGTATAGGGAAATTACACGTCGGCAGACCAAGGCCAGATCTTGAAGACAGTCACATGATATTTAACAATTATTGGACGAGGTTGAGCAAAATATCGTGACCTGTTAGTGGCGAGCAGATCAATTATTTGCCAAAGCCGAAGGCTGATGAAAATAATTGATCTGCGAGACAGTGGCAAATCACGATATTTGCGATAACCGAGTTCAATAATTGTTTTATTATTCGGTCACCGAGTTTGTTTTTTAATGAATATCCTCGGGAAGCGAAGCTAACTGCCATTTTCACACAAGAGCGATCGCAAGAAGGAGAAAAGCGTGGTTTCTTTTACGCATGAGCAGAATATTATTTGAAGCCAAACAAAAGCCAAACACAGTTGAAAGCCATTTCGCATGAGCAGACCATTGTTCGTAGAAAGTTATTAGAAGGTCACGTGGTGGGCTCTTGGCCAATGAAAGGAAAGAAAAATTTGCTTCGAATGATAATAAGTTTATAGCTAAAATGACTTCAGTTGCACACCGCTGTACTGACTGCTCACTGGCTCACCTGATTCTAGCTGCAGATCCACTAACACAACCTGAGTGAGGAATGACGTCATGTCTATGGGCACTTTGCCATTGGAGACTTTGTCAATGATAAGGGATTTAATGCATCCCATAGCGAGCATACAGGACTCGTGTATCTTCCACCTGAAAAGGGACAGGAATTCTGTTGTGTAAGCAGGTATAGAGATGGAATAAAGGGCGCCAGAGAATCACAGGAATAACACGTAGCCGACCGCTACTGTGTCACAGGGTTACCAACGGCGTTATGTTCGCCAAATCGATGGTCGATGATGGGCGCAAAGAAACCCTGAGGAACAAATAATTAATGTAGATTTATGACAATCAGTTTCATATTCTCACCAATTAACATCTCCTTTGCTCTTTCTTTCATTTGCCTCCTGAAGGTGCTTGTTAACTGCTTTTACTAAAGAAACTGCACTCTCATTCTTAAAATCAGCAGCAACTGCCTGAAAATTAGACACGATCAATGCAATAGAAACCACAAGTAAGAACCTAGTTTATAAAAGTCTGTTAGGCTAAAATTTGCCGGTTAGGCCCTCTATACAAGAACTTGTTTAGCCTAAAATTTGACACAGGTTCTTATTTTCTAAAATCTATACATATATATAACAAATTGTACACTTGGGCAAATAAGATAAGTCAACATGCAGGATCCTCTTTGAAGACATAGGTGCCTTATCACTCTAAAGGCAACGTATTGGTATGCAGACTTTGTATAGGGAATCAACTGAAACCACTAAATACTCTTAACTACAATGTATTTTTCTGTTCAGTTAATGAAAACCTACTTAAGAGCCTAAACAGCCTTTTACTTGGAAAAATGCAGGTTCTTACTCGCTTTTTTTTTCTATTGTAAGTGTTACCCTTTCTAACACAGTCTCGGCCCCTTTTACTTCATACTTGCGTTCCACGCGAAACAGGACAACAGGGGCCTCTTCCTCTTTTTAACATTCGGCTTGTACGAAGAAAAACCATTAACCAAAAGAATTTTAAAACAAGTTAAAAGGACAAAATGTTGCATACCAACAGGACGTCTTGAGCAGCGATACGAACTGAGAAGGAAAATGTGTCGTCATCTTCATCTTCAACGAACTGGTTTGGGTTCGATGTCCACACTTGAACCTGGATTAAAATTATAATTAAAAAAAATTGGGGTGCAGTCTTACTTGATACACATCGAATCCAAGTGTCACTGCTGACTAGTTATTAGGTGGGTCGTAACCTCAAGCTACGGTAAAGCGGGAAACAAAAACGCGCAACTTGTTTTGCAAAATTGCTAAAAAAAAAAAGTTGGAACCTGATGTTGCGCGTTTAACCACCGACGTCCAAACCCTCTTGCAACAAATCAGGTTGTAGCGAGTTGCGTGAATACTGACTTCTGATTAGATACAATTACGCGGGAGTTAGTTACGTCACTTACTGCAAAACAAGTTTGCCTTGGGCCGGAAAGAAACGCAACATGTACAGATTTTGTTGCAAAAAAAAAGATCTTTTCTCTACTTACTCCAACAACTTTTCGCAACCTACAACAATCTGTTTTGCTGCAAAACAGGTTTGATTCATGGGTGGTAAAAAGTGCAACACAGCTTTTCAACTCGTATAGCAGCAATGCTGCAAAACAAGTGGCACGTTTTACTGTATCATTAGACAAGAGTGAACACAGTAAGGCTGGGTAAAGTTATATTCTCGGCGGGCTCTTCTTTCACACTGCCTATCACAATACATGCAGAAATTTGAATACATGTAAACCAATCAGGTCTCCAAGCAAATACATGTCCTAAGAGCACCTGATGCTTCTTGATGTCTAGTGCGTAAAAACAGGCGCGTAAGAGCAAGTCTTTACAATAGCAAATCACGACTGCTTTTGTAGCGCAAGATTTTCCATCCAATCACAAAGCGTTAAAATAGAAAACCAAATAATACTGGCCAATTACAATACGCAAGGAAATTCAAATGAGCCAATCTGACGTCGAAGCAAAGACATGCAGCCGCTGACAAGAGCGGGAAAAAGTGCGAGAAAGTCGCGATAGGTTTTCCTCTCTTCTGATTGGTTGAGAAATTACCGAATACATGCATTCACTGCCAAGCGCGGGAAAAAGTGCGAGCAAGTCGCGGTAGGTTTTCGTTTCTTCTGATTGGCTAGGAAATTAGCGAGGGATTTTTCATCCAATCACAAAGAGTAGAAGTGTAAAGCACAGCAATCACCAACAATTCCTTTTGATTCGCAATTGATTAAAAGGCACTTGCGTTCCTATCTGCATTTCTGACGCTTTGAACCTTCCCCTCCCCTCCCCTCCCTTTTCACCCCAACCCCCGCATACTCTTGACTTACAGGGGATAGGGTCATACAATACTTCAGTAAAATTATTCTGACCTGATCCTCCGTTATCTGCATGTACAGCACCAGGAAGTAAATAAGTTCATCTAAAAACTTCTTGACAGTTTTCTTAAATTTGGGGGTTTCTATAAGTCCATGAATGAACTCGAAAACACTGAACACAAGGTTCTCAAATCCGAGCACTTCTCCTAAAAAAAAAGAAAAAACGAAAAAGAAAATTTTCATAAGCAACTATATAGGTACGTGCCGGGCGTGGATTAAATCCCTTGGGTTTTAAGAGGTCAGTTTTACTTTTCTTAAATGGAGTAATGGTTGACAACCCTTCACAGATCATAAGCCAATCTTGAATTGAATGGGCGCAATCACTTAGGGACAACAGTCACAGTTTATACCACCATTACTTGAATTTTTAGCATAATACTCATATTTTTTGAAAGAGTCTGAAGTTGAATTGCATTCATCTTAAAAATTGACTGGCAATTTTTCTACCCAAACCCTGCTTTCTACAAAGTGCAGCAAATTCCTCATTTCCACATCTCCCATAATACACCTTGTTTGCCCCGCCCCCATAACGCCAAAAAAAAAATTGCATAAGCATTGTGTTCAGTTTCCCTTGGGACTGCTGAAATACCTACATGTAGGAGAAAATTAATAAAACCCAAGGATATGCAAAATTTGGGTATTATTTTTTGTTATCATCAGAGATGGGTGAATGGCAGACTAGTGTCAACAGCGCCCAGAGTATTTTCGCAGGGTTGAAAGCCTAGCTTCCCCATTTGCAAGGTTTCACAGCAGTTCAATCTTTCACTGGAGATACTAGTGTTACTTTAGCCATGCACAACCGAGTGCATAATACCTTTAGCTGACCATTCGTTTGAGCACAATACCTTTGTTTCATGGGCAATGCCGAAAAGCTTAATAATCAATTTTACAAGCATGTTAGACCCTACTCCAGGAACGAATTTAGTTTTGGTAAATACAGGGAGTAGAGAGAAAGAATAACTTGTCATCCATCATTTTTCACTATACTGCAATGTGTGATCTGCAACCTTAAGTTCTTAATTTGAAATAATTATGCTTCCTACCATCAGAATCCACTGGATCATCAGCATCATCAGTGTAATTGACAACTGTGCGAACATATCGATCTGCACTCTGTGTTAATGTGTTCCACATATGCGGCAAAATATCCATCAGATGTGGAGCCATTTGCTTGGGAAACTCTTTTACCAGAGTAGTGAGGGCCTGAAAGTTTTTAATCCAGGTTTCGAAATTAACCAAAAATTGATTAAAAAAAACAACAACAACCACAACAATAATGTTAGAAAATGAACGTCTTGCTACAGGTGTCCACAGAATTTCAATGTTCTTTGTGCCCATGCCATTCCTCAAAAGTCTGTATAACTTTTGGAGTCAGTAGGCAAATTTTAAAATCAAAACCTAACAAATGGTTGTGCCAATCCTAGTTCACAAACCAGTCTAATTGATTACTTTAACTGACAGTTTTTTGTTTTTTCAAAACTATTAAAACTTCAATCATGGGTCAGACATAAACACAGCAAACAAAAAGCTGTCGGGCCTGGTAATTTCCATAACAAAATAGTCCCAAGTCGCTTTTTAAGGCATGTCATTTATCTACACCCTGTAGGTTTTCAATTTCAGCAGCCATGTAACTGTTAGTAAGAGGCAATTACAGTAACAACTGGTGCAAATGACCCTTTATAACACATTGTATCAGCATGTCTCTCACATTTGCATTTCAATGAACAAGTATTATTATTGTTATTATTATTATTATTATTATTATTATTATTATTGTTGTTGTTATTATTATTATCATCAATGTAATTATTATTATCGTCATAAATACTTGATAACGGCAGCATGCTGTTGTCAACATGCCATTTTTTATTTTTTTTATCTTAAAATCTTCTGTTATTGTAAGTACATGAAGCATAACTTATTAATGCAAGAATATTGATGACCTGGATGGATCATAAACCTTTTAGCTGAACTCTCTTTCAATAGTGTCAAAGTTTCAAAAATCATCTTTTAACCTTAAGTACTTCCATCTTCAAGCCACAATCAACAGTGGGACTGTCTTCCTGTAAGGCCAACACCTGAACAAATGCTTGTGTGAACTGTGGCAGTATGGGGAAAAGGATCTTTTTGGCAATACCCTGAAATGAATGTTGATCAAAATCAAATATTAACACAGTACTGTTCAAAAGTAAGTTACAAGCCTCATCTCATTTTTTGTGAGATGAGTGTCTCACGAGAGAAAAAGATGAGCATGGAGAGAATCACTAAAGCTACATTATTCTGGAAAAAATTAAGAATGAAACTCAGTTTCTCTACTTCTGAGAGAACAAAACATTGAAAAGCATCAGAATACACATCAACATCTTTCATTCACGCCTGACAGGTTACTCTACATGTACCTGTATGGTTTCCCCCTACCCCCCTTCCCAAAAAAATACAATATTGCTTATTATTAAAAACTGAATCATTGGATAATGCAGTTCTTTTGCTCTGATTGGCTTAGTCATCATGGTATATGAGGCACTATAAAATAAGTAACTGTACTCACCTGCTCAAAATTAAAAACAAGCTGAAAATTGGTTGTTATTACAAATAAAGTCAGGAAGAATTCTTGATATTTTGTGGGCATTTTTAATAAAACAATATTTTTATTCCACTCACGCTTGTTGCATATGAGGTGATTATAGCCAACTCATATCCAATGAAGACTTATGGAATAATTGTTAATTATGCATGTACCATTGACTTTGTGGTCTTTGTTTTGAAGTCTTTAGGACTAAGGGCTATAAGAGGTCTTAGAATCTTTATTTGTAATAGACCCTTGAAGTACTAGGAGTAACCAAGATCAATTTTCTTCTGACAATATAAATACAGAATCAAGATGATAACCCATGTTAGGGAAAATGCTTAGATCTTAAGACAAATTCTCTCCACTAATTTCTTTAGGCCCTTTAGAAAATGTTGGAGATCAGTAAAGAGAATTTGTATGTAGATATTAAGGGGCTTAGAGGGTCAAGCCATGCATGACTGTTCCATGTCTAATATGCCGCGTACACTGTTCAGGGGCACCCAACGAGAATATAGTTCAAAACCACCTAAACATAGCATTATTAAACGTATTTTAGTATTTAAAAGGTAGATATAGGCATATTTTTATCCCCTAAAAATTTTTCATCTGTTCGGATTTCCTAGCTGAAAGTCTAAAGATCTGAAAATTATAGGGATCAAAACTTACCTTTTCAAAAATATCAGCCAGAAAAAAGACTCCCGAAAATGAAAGGGTGAGCTTTTTAGGGTAAAAATCCGTTAAAAATGGGCAATTATGCCAATTTTTAGATGTGTGAAAATCGTAGGAGAGGTAGGCAAGCAAGAAATTTTACAAAAAATGTTCCAAAAATTCTAGATCTCAAATCATCTTCTGAACAGATACTTTCCGAAAATTGGCGTTGGGTGCCCCTGACTGTTTGTGAGCAAATTATCGAGCTCGGTCACATGTACAAGAAGAACAGTGCACCTGATGCTCAAATACATGTACATGTTATTAGTCCTCATATTTGAATCTGAATTCCTTGTTCACTCTACAATATACATATGTGTTTACTTACAAGTGGCACAACATGCACACCAGTCTCTAACCCTTGAGTAAGTAAGTAGAGGCTATTACATGTATATCAATATATTTATTTAATCCTCACCATATTATCATCTGCCATGGCACAAATCAGTGACGCACATGTATTAAAAATGTCAGCAGCACGAGATCTGGTTCTAATACTGTATAGCTAAAAAATAAATTTATGCAGTTATTTTAGGCTTGAACAAAGTACATAATTTTATACAAAGTGTCTACAATACAACAAACTGGAAAATAAGGAAGCTCGTCAAATCATGTTCACTAGACAGCCCAGCTTACCATGTCTTCAATTCTTCACCAAATATCAACGACCAGGAATAATAATTAAAAGCTTTCCTTTGCAGGCACCATATCAAAAAAAAAACCCAGCCCTATTGCCGACTTGCTGGAAAAGACCCTCATGTCAAAGCTGAGCAAGCTGAGTTTCTCCTTGGCTAGGACAGTTTGTGTAGTGCACGGCTAAAAGTCACCTCATGAACAAAATCACCCCAGCACTAGCTACCGTCTATGTAAACTAGCCTTTGTATAGCCACCCTCACCTCTCAAGGAAAAAATCAAGAAAGGCCCATTACTCAATAAAATACTCAAATGAGGCTGTTACTGTAAATGTGCATAGGCTACTGTCAGCTATAAGGCTGACTCAGTCTATCTTATACAATTGGCTCCCAAATCATGGAATTCATCAGAGCCAGTTAAATTACAGTGTATTTATTCTTGAGTCTTACATCTGCATGAACAAATATCTTGTACATTTCCGGAAGAATCAATGGGGCAACATGAGGCATTTGGATATCTGAAACTTCACGACAGAACTCTGCAAAAACGAAAAATTGTGTCATTAATCTCGGAAACAACATTGAAAAACACTGCCTGTTTTCACTTTTGTGAATGAACACAACAACACACAGACATATGGAATTTCAAGCAAAACAGAATGATTCTCGAGGCCATCCAAAAAGAGATACTTTAGCTAGTGGAGGAAAAAGATGTAGATACTGCAACTAGCAAGGGAAGTACTTTGTAAGTCATTCATTCAGCAGTTTTGACAATTAAATTTGTGTTCTTATATGCAATGACATTGTTTTGATTCTCTTTGTTCTTTGTTGTTGTGGAAGTGAAAGTCTAGGAATAAAACAAAACCAATAATACCAGGTTCCACAGGAAACCAGTTGGTTTTGTTTTCCTAGGGAAACATCAGGACCTGGGCAAACATCAGAAACAAAACTTACAGTTTCCCACGGCCCTGACATTAAGTACATGTTATGACTCTGACTCTCACTCTGCCACTGGTTAAACCAGGCTAAACAGATACTTACACTTCATGTATATCTCTTGCGGATGACAATACGCACAATAGAATAAACTGAAAACCAAACCTAAAACTTGTAAACACACAAAATGTACCTGTTAATACTCTCATAGCTCCATGGACCAGATTGCTGTCTCCACTTGTTAATGCCTGCATCAGATGTCCAAACAAATTTGGCCATGCTTCCGGCCAATCCCAATGGGCAATGGCGGAGATTGCATATGCCTGAAGGGTCATTAGAAATGGTCGTAAGATCAAAGAGTGTAATACCACTTATCTTTTAACCTCCTCAACAAGTGTGTCTGCTTAATAGCAAATGCAGTATATTGTAATAGAAGCAAATACGTGGGAGAAAAAATCTGGCTTCAACATACATACTTTTTATTGTCTTTTTTAAAAAATATATAGCAATATAGCACCTTACCACACTAGACCTGACTTTACTTATTGACTCTTGAAGTCCCTCTGGTAGCAGGCGCCGGATTTCTGCCTTTGCCTCAAAAAGGAAAAAGTTACACAATCAACTTTTCCTTGTACATGAAGTCATGAAAACAGTAATACGCATAAAAATGATAACTGACTTAGACAACATTTTAAATAGAAATTGTTCTCTTTAAGAACATTAGAAATGGTGCTCCAGAGCATCAAGATTTCAAAATTTTGGGGGAAAGCATGCCCCTGAACTTTCTAGTTGCTCACACCTTCTGCAATTGTGTGAGTCAACAGTAATTAAAGAAAATCCCGATTTTATATACTCACAAGGTTGGACACACTGGTAATATATTTTAAAAATTGGCCCTTACTGCTTCTGTTGTCTCTGGGTCTCTATACTTTTCAGCATTGACAGTCCAGTGAGCTTCAACATATTGCTTCAGGATCACTGACGCGAGCTGAAAACAGCAAATAAGTGAAATAACTACAACTGAATGGTTACTTCTATTTCAAATTAGGAAAAGCAAAAGCTGATTCATGGATGCATGATACAACAATGAAAAATATTGAATTTCAGATAAGTTTCTTTTGATTTTTTTAAAGATGCTTGTCTCTGGCATTATTAAGAGTTAAAAAAAAAGATAAATTAGAATACATGTACCACAAAAGCATTATTACGCCTTCCCCTTCCCTGTTTATATTAACCCAAGAATAATGTAGCTTTTACGTAGGGAATGAAATAACTGACCTGTCTAATAGCAAGAGCACCCGTTCTGTCAACAGTTAGTTCTGCTAAATGGACACCAAACTCTAAAAGGAGATCAAAATAAAAAAGTGAGATCCAATTCAGGCACAAAAGGCCATACAAATGTATCTATAATATGTAGACTCACTGGACCCAGAAAAATGGTCATTTCACATTTCAGTGATTTTGTTACCTCTGTGTCTTGCATACCTTACACATAAAAAGTGCCAAAGATGCAAACTAATTTGTCGTTACAAAAGATCCAGGGACTCGATGGTTCTGGACTGGAACTCATGGTTTTCCACAAGATGAGTCCCAGGACTCACCATAACTATTTGTAACAAAATCACTGCATTTTGAGGAGTAGTACGTGTCCCTGTCGGGTATTTAACCCATTTCTATGTCATTTGTCAACATTTCATCTAGTCCTTTCATCTATGTCGCTGTTTCAAAACCGTTGTCGCTTGTCAGATTTTACCCTAACATGACCTCAATTATGTAGTGATAAGCTTGTATCCAACTTAATATCATAGGTGACAAATTACTCCTTAATTTTGGCACGAAAAATCACATGTGAAATTACCAAATTGCCATGGCAACCCTTCCGTACATCTCAATGTCAAGATGGCGACGAAGTTTTAAAATGTCGTGAATGAAGATGTCAGGGCACAAAAAGATGCTTTAAAAAACCTGAACACACACGAGAACATCAAGAAGGATTCTAACAGGTATTTTGCCGAAAAAGTCTGAAAAATTCTGAACTTTATAAGCCAAATTTAAAGTCTAAACATTTGAGAGACTGGAGTTCTCGATCGATACGATCCAGGATAAACATATCAAAAATCCAAGATTGCTAACGTAACTCACCACCCATGATATTAATAGGTAATCAAATGGTATACTTGTGAAAATTAGGGAATATTTTCACTTGCGTTTTGTCCAAATCCTAATAATTTCCCGAGCCTTTAAATTATCAAGATTTGGACAAAACGCAAGTGAAATTATTCCCTAATTTCACTCGTCACCATTTGATTACATATACTAAGTATTAAATTACTCAACTGAGCCTACAGTAAAAAATACATGTAATTTCTTAAATTTGTATCAGACTTAATTCCTCTGCTTTGATTGTCCATATTCACTGTTCGTATCATTGCAAGGATAATTCCATCATCTTACAACCATGCGTTGCTATTAAAGCTTATTACTGCATGTAAAATTCTTTTTTAACCCGAAACTCCCAGTACAGAGGTCTGTCTCCCAATGATTCAAGTACACTTTCAATCAAACAAGATCCTTTCCGACTCCCATTCATTAAATCGTAATTATCAGATTATTCACATGTTCCATTACTTTACACAGATAAATCTGCGACAGGAACTACAATGTATAAACTTAAGTTTTTGCAATCTCATACACGGTCATGCTGATTGCTGCATAAAAGGTAGCGCTTACATGTGCATGTATTTTAGAGCTTTAAGTTTAGTTTTTCACTGGAACAGTCGATCATTTCCAAAGTGGATAAAACCAAAAGCATTTCTAAGTGTGGTTGTGCTGTAAATTCAAGCTGTCTTCAAATTTGCGGCACATCTTCAGTCTCCGGGTAAAACCATTACATGTCAATTTCACGAAATGTACATCTCTTCGATCAGGTTTTGACAAGATCTGTAATCAAAACATTTATTACCTTCTGTGACTTCCAGAAGTTTAAGCTGCTCTTCAGCCATTTGTCGAGCTTGCTGATCGGATGAAAGAATGGCGGAGAGGCTTTCTATCAGGGCCTGTTTAAGTGAACGGTTCCTCTCTTCCATCGCGGCAGCCATGTTGGAGTTGAAAAGAACAGGTTTCGCGCATGCGAAAATTTTGGCGGGAAAATTTTGAAGGGTATATTTACCGCTGACCATGGATCGCGGTTGGCTTGGAAAGAATAAAAAAGTACGAACTTTTAAATCAAGAAAACTACCGTAAAATTCCGAAAATAAGCCCCTCCATGTATAAACCCCTCCAAATATAAGCCCCCCAAACCGGTAACGCAAAAACCCTCCGTTAAATCGCCCCTCCAAATATAAGCCCCCCGAGGGCTTGTACTCGGAAAATTGCCCTGAAATACAAAATATAACAAAGCAAAAAATGTATTTTCCGCTGTTATTCCAAGTAATTAGTCGCAGTTGTTCTAGTTTCACACCTGCCGCACCCACTATTGTGCATTCTGTTTTGCATTGATGTCCTGATTGACCAGTTATTAGTATTTATACTCTCCGTTGTCTCTTGAGTACCATTCACGCTCGCGGTTCCATACAGTTTATTCAACTTTCTGGTTTGTGTTTTTCCTATTCGTGTGATGCCCAACGATCAAAAAGAGAGCGAAGGTTCGTCCGTGCGGGCTGAAGTTGGCCAAACTTCAGGTGATAGTGGAGGCAACTCAGCAGCCGTTGATCAAGTCTTTTCCATGTTTAAGGATTTTCTTGAGAAAAAATTAGAAGATAAAGGAAAGCAAATCGAACAAAGGAGTAAGTTAGATAAAGAAGTTGTACAGCTAAAGTTCAAAGGTAACCAGAAACAATTTGAGCTTAATGCCGAATTAGATGCCATTTTTGAAAGCATTGAAACTGAAAGTAAAAGCATCGAGCCAAATTTGTCGCAGATCAAGAAACTTTCCCAAGAAGGCAGGCAACGTATTCGAAAGCGACAGAAGCTGATAAAAATCGCTGATAAAAGTAGGGACGGCTGGCAGGTTGTAGCCGAGTACGAGTCGGACGAGCTTGCATCCGGCTCCGAAGATGAAAAGCGTCTTAAGAAGGCAAGAGAAGCGGCGAGCCGCAAGAGACGTCAAAAGGAACAACTCTCCAGCGATCGTGGAAAGAAACCAAGAATTGCTTTGGGCGCTGATAATCAGCTTTTTCGTGGTAAGAAAAAGGAGCCTCCTCTTTACTTTCTATATTCATATGTGATTTGGATCTGCTTGCGCATCCTACCATATTTCTCGTGTGATTTGTTTGTATTACGGGAATTTAAGGGTAAAATGATTTACGTTCGTTTGAGCGAAGCGAATTAGAACGTAAGTGTATTGTCCGCTGTTATTCCAAGTAATTAGTCGCAGTTGTTCTCGTTTCACACCTGCCGCACCCACTATTGTGCATTCTGTTTTGCATTGATGTCCTGATTGGCCAGTTATTAGTATTTATACTCTCCGTTGTCTCTTGAGTACCATTCACACTCGCGGTTCCATACAGTTTATTCATCTTTCTGGTTTACGCCCCCACCCCCCCCCCCTCCCGTTTATTACAGGTTTCGTCATTGCTGTTATCTTTCAGGCCGTAGAGACGCTTCTGGCGACTTCTTTCGCTCTTTCAAATGCGGCAAATTTGGACACTGGGCCAAGGACTGTAGATCCATGTTCTGGCCGGGTAGTTACCAGTCCCCTAGCTACAATTCTTGCCCTGGAATCTCCTACAACAAGCCAACCGCAGGCCAATCAACTCAACCAAAGCAATGAAGATGACTTGGCGCAGGTAGATCAAATTACACAGAATTACGAACTAGAAAGTGGACATTCATTAAGTGTTAAGGGTAATCTGAAGAATAATTTAGGTTTCTGGAGATCTATAGGTGCTCCGGATTTTATTTTGTCTATTATTGAAAACGGCTACGGGCTGCCGTTCATCAGTTTTCCGTTGGCCGTAAAGCTAGGAAATAATAAGTCAGCTCGACTTCATGCTGATTTCGTGGACCAAGCCGTTCTTGAGCTTGTTAACTCTGGTCGGGTGCGTATCGTTAATGAGCAGCCCTTTGTTGTAAATCCCTTGTCAGTTTCTATACAGTCATGCGGTAAAAAGAGGTTAATTCTTGATTTGCGCCATGTCAATAAGTCATTAATTAAGCAAAGTGTTAAGTACGAGGACTGGAAAATTGCTATGGCTTATTTTGCGAAAGACGCGCACATGTTTTCCTTTGATTTAAAAAGCGGTTATCACCATATCGACATTGCGCATGAGCACCAAACTTTTCTGGGGTTTTCATGGCGGTCGTCTGATTCCGTTAATGATGTATTTTATGTTTTCACTGTGCTCCCGTTCGGTCTTTCCTCTGCCCCTTATGTTTTCACAAAGGTTTTAAAGCCTTTAGAAAAGTATTGGAGAATACAGGGTCTTTGTATAACCATCTTCTTGGACGATGGTTGGGCGATTGTTCAGGATAGAGAAAGTTGTCGCATTAAGGCCCTAGCTATAGCTGTAAGGGGGGATTTGTATAACGCGGATTTTGTCGTTAACGAAGACAAATCGGTATGGGAACCCACCCAAGTATTGGACTGGTTGGGTATAACCTGGAATTCTGCACTGGGTACTTTAAAAATTGTAGAGAGAAGAATTCTTAAGATTATCAGTACAATTGATCATATTATTGAAGCCGATTTCAAAGTGTCTGCGCGAGAGTTGGCCTCCTTCACAGGTCAAATTATTTCTACCGGGCCTGTAGTTGGTAACATTGGCAGGATAATGACCAGACATTGTGTCTTGTCCACCTTGTGCAAAGATAACTGGGATTCTGTATTCCGTCTCGACGATAACTGTAAGGAAGAACTGTATTTTTGGAGGAAAAATATGGTTAACATCAACTCTAGGTATTGCTTTGTAAGTAAAGATCCTAGTTATTTTGTATATTCGGATGCCAGTGCTACCGGAGGTGGAGCAATTATTGACTTTAACAATGATTTTGTTTGCCACAAAATGTGGTCGGAGAACGAGAGAGTTCAAAGTTCAACGTGGAGGGAGTTGTCTGTTATTGAGTTTTCATTGCAATCATTTGCCTCAGTGTTGAAAGGATCACACGTTAAGTGGTTTGCTGATAGCCAAGCAGCTGCTAAGATTGTTGAAGTGGGCAGCATGAAATTAGGTTTGCATAAGATGGCCCGAAGGATTTTTGATACTTGTATTCGATCGGGGATTCATTTAGAAGTGCAATGGATCCCTCGCACTTCGAATCAGCAAGCTGATTATATAGGTCGTTTAATTGATACTGATGATTGGCAAATTACTGAAGAATTTTTTCTTTTTCTTGATGGTCGGTGGGGCCCGCATAGTGTTGATTGTTTTGCTAATTATTATAATCACAAGCTCCCCAAATATTTTTCGAGGTTTTGGAACCCCAATACTTCGGGTGTTGATTTTTCTTTCAGTCTCTTCGAGGAGAAAATTGCCTAGTAGTCCCTCCAGTTGGTATCGTCCCATGTGTATTGCATTATTTGAAATCTCAGCGGGCCGTTGGTACGCTCGTTGTACCTCTTTGGCCTTCGGCTCACTTTTGGCCTTTAATTACACACAAGTATAGCAGTTATCTTGTGGCTCACAGTATTCATATCGGGAATGAGGTTCTAACCCGCGGAAGAAACCTTAATTCGCTCTTAGGGTCTGATCTTTTCACAGGAAATATTATTGCCTTTAGATTGAAATTTACTGAGTAATTTATTGGATGGGGTGTGTCCATTAGCCTAATGATTATTCACATTTGGTGGCGCTGGCCAAAGCAATATGTTGTTTATCTATGTGGCACTGGCCTAATTTATAGTTTGTCATTTCATGTGGCGCTGTCTTTAACAGCGTATAGTTGATTTATGTGGCGCTGGCCCAATCAATGGTTTTTGATTTACGGGACACTGGTCCATTCAATAGTCCATCGTCTTATGTGGCATTGGCCCCGACATTAATCGATTTTTATACGGCTCTTTTTTTTGTTCTTTTATTATATATGTTTGTTCTTGTCTTTCCAGGTAATCTTATCAAGTAATTCCTGGAAAGGCTTTCAACAATTTTCTTCAATCAACGTTTATGAGGTTTTAGAAGTTATGTTGTAGTCCAGGGCGGATACAACTACTAAAGCCTACGTTCGCGTTATTAGAACGTTCTTGGAGTGGTCTAAAGGTAGACATTTCAACATGCAGTTACCTTTTCCCCTTAGTGTCGTTTCCCTATATTTATTTGAAGTTCAGCAGTCTTGCACCTCTAGTTCCTCAGTAATTTTAGCCCATGCTGCCCTTAAATGGTTACATTCTTTTGTCCCTAGTTTGGATCGTAATCCTTTGGATAGTGAATTTTGCAGGAATATTATCGAATCTGCTAAACGCCAGAAATCACAGCCAGTAATGAAGAAGAAGCCTATTACCACAGAAATCATAAGGAGTATTTTAGATATTCATAACAAGGAAGATGCTAATTTGAAGAATCTTCGTATCGCTGCGTTATGCTCTTTAGCTTTTGCAGGATTTTTTCGTTACGACGAATTATGCAATATTGTTCCTAAGCATATCGAATTTCACAGCGATTATATAAGAATCTTTGTACCTCGTAGTAAGACAGATGTTTATAGGGAAGGGAATTTCGTCTTTATTAGTGCATCCAGGTCTAAGTACTGTCCTGTTGGTGTTTTACAACGGTATTTAGATTTATCTGGTATTGACTTATGTAGTTCTCTCCCTTTATTTAGACCGCTTGTTTTTCACCGTAGTAGTTCTAGCTATACTCTGAGAAGTGGAAAGATTTCTTATACTACTTGTAGAGATATCTTAAGGGATACCTTAAGTCAGCTGGGCCTCAACCCTAATGATTATGGTCTTCATAGTTTAAGATCCGGTGGTATTACTTCTGCGGTGCGTAATAGTAGTAACTCGATTCCAGAAAGACTTCTTAAAATACATGGTAGATGGAAATCTGATTCTGCCAAGGATATGTATGTTGAAGAAAGCCTTGAAAACAGGTTACAAGTAACTAAGTATTTAGGTTTGTAATGCATTATCGAGCTTATATTAATTTCTCTAAACAGTAGTGTGTAAAAAAAAAAAAAAAATTGTAAAACAACAACAACAACATTCGTAACTATCGTAACTATCTATCTTATAATAAACTGTTTTGGATCTGCTTGCGCATCCTACCATATTTCTCGTGTGATTTGTTTGTATTACGGGAATTTAAGGGTAAAATGATTTACCTTCGTTTGAGCGAAGCGAATTAGAACGTAACGGTAAATTTACTTCCAACTATATGGCTAGCCCAATCGATTTTGAAACGCAAATTTCCCCCGTAGATAAGCCCCTCCGAATATAGGCGCCTCCAAAAATAAGCCCCTCAAAAAGGGCCTTTGATTTTTTTCCCTCCTCATTTTTTTTTATTCCCTCCTCCTCATTTCTATTGTTTTCCCCTCCTCACTTTCAGAAATAAACATCACCACATCCTAATGTCGTTAAATAGCACTGAATCATTAAGCTTAATCTGTAGATCATTAGCACGCAAATTAAAATTTTTTCGTACCCCTTTTTCTTTGTTGGACATTCACTGAAAGGAACGAAAATTACCCCATTTTCAACAAAAAGTCTCATATTTTCCCCACTGTTAATATCAACAGGCAAAGGTCTGCAAAAGTCGAAAATATTCCGTTCTATAGCATTTCCAGTGTAAGCTTTTCATCTATCATAAATCACCACCACAAAGTACTTAGTTCGCGAGATTTTCCCGCCACTTCCCTCTCATCAGACCACATACTCCAAATGCCTTTAAAACACAATCCTCGTCACATTAGTTGGGACAGTTGTGATGTTTTCTGCCCTCCCAAAGTTGGTTTTTACGATTTGGCATCACCGAAGCAAAAAATTCAACGCTGGGAGGGAAAGAGCACAACGTTTCGCAGGGGCACCCAACGAGAATATAGTTCAAAACCTCTTAAACATAACATTGTTAAACGTACTTTAGTGTTTAAACGGTAGATATAGGCATATTTTCCCCCCTAAAAATTTTTCATCTGTTCGGATTTCCTAGCTGAAAGTCTAGTGATCCGAAAATTATAGGGATCAAAACTTACATTTTCGAAAATTTCAGCCAGAAAAAAGACTCCCGAAAATTCTAGGTGATCTTTTAAGGGTAAAAATCCGTTAAAAATGGGCAATTATATCATTTTTTAGATGTTCGAAAACCCCAGGAGAGGCATGCAAGCAAGAAATTTTACAAGAAATGTTCCGAAAATTCTAGCTGTCAAATCGTCTTCCGAACAGATATTTTCCGAAAATTGTCGTTGGGTGCCCCTGGTTTCTTTCTTCGCAATATGGTTTCTGCACGGGGTGTCCCAACTTAATGTGACGAGGATTGTAGGTCTAGAAACTGTAAATCGTCTTTACTTTGAAGCAAGAAATCATGCTTACTGGCCGAGTCCATTCCAACTTATCACTTCCATCGATAGGAGTTGGTTACCGCCGAAGTCAATCCTTCTTCGCCGTGGATTGTTTGCTTGGTCAAAACATGGGCACACGTGCTTAGCGGCTCCTGATTTTGAACCTGCGTGCGACATTACTGTGTGTATGGATGTGGCTAGGAATCCATGGGCCTGATATGGAAACGCTGAAACCTTTGTTGCCTACTGTGAACATCTCCGAGCCGCCATCTTTGCTGGGAACATGTTTGCGATACACAAGATCAGCTTTATTCAAGTTTCGTGGTCCTTCCAAAACCACATTCAGAACTTCCATTCTAGGAGAACAGGCGTACGGGCAATTTTTTGCCAGGGGGGGCGGTAAACCATTTGCCCAAAAATTCTTGCAAGTTGCCCAAATTTTAACAAAACAGTCGAACAGAAACGAGGGCCATACAATGCAACAACATATGCCGTACTAGCATATGAAAGTGGCTCGATACAGGTTTTCAGGGTCAATACCTGTGAATTTTTTTGAGCATAGACTACGACACCATAAACATTGACACCACAGTTGTATTAGATAAAGATGAAAATTTGTCATGATCATGGTTGCAATAACATCGGAGTTGTCATAGCAACCAAATGACGCCATTACCAATTATACTTGCAGCAACATTCCTCACTGGGAACTGTTCTTCAAAAATCGTTCACGGGAGCATTTTCCTCCAATTCGGTCCAATAGTCGCCTCGATGTTCGTGAAGTTAAAACGGAATCCGTAAGAGCGTTGCGGAGATATTTTCGGATAAAGTTTTTATCGTTAGAAATACGGTAAAAAAGGAAAATCTTGATGTTTGGCCGTCATCTTTAGAAAACGATGCAATTTCACCTCATAGTAGTTTCAGTCTTTTTAAAACGTGGGTAAAAGATCATGGAAATAGCTCTGACCAAAAAAGGATTTGAGTATTTAGTATGTATCATGGCGCTCTTGTTAGCGGTTTTGTAAACATTTCGGTCTACTTTAACAAATTAGTGAATAATTCAATTTTCAAACCACTCGATAGATTTTTTTTTAAAAAAATTACGATTCTTGGGGTAATTCAAACTGAGAATTAGTCAGCCACTTCTTCACTTTCAGACCCATTGCCGATGCTATCTGCCATACACTGTTCTACGAGCGGAGATGATTCTAGAAAGTTATACGGAAGTTTATTCTAATCAATTTACGACTGGAAATAGCCCACTGCAGTACAGTGCCCAAAAATAAAAAAAATCAGCACATGATACCCTTCCCTTATAACTAGAAACTCATTACGTGCTAGGCAACCACTGTCTCGTGTGAACGTAGCGGTACTGGATTATTACGCCAACTTCAGGTTAAAATAGAAAATATTTATCTCTTCAAAATTATGATTTAAAAAAAACGGAAACGTCTTAAAAAACTGATTTTGCCCAAATTTTTCTCTCGCTGCCCAAAAAATCTGAGTGCAGCTCCCCTCGCCGCCCCCCCCGGCCCGTACGCCTATGAACTCAAAAATGCTGGTTTACTACGCTACCGAGGCAAAAGAGGTGGGTTGAGTCGTAATTCCCGCCACCATAGTACTGAAAGTCGTTCAATCCCTACTGTAGTGAAATGCAATCGTTGGCGTCCTTCAAGATCTGAACGCTGGTAATCGGTTCGAATTGAAATACAGATCGGAGAAAGAACGAACCAGTCTTGAAAACAAGTCAAGGTGGGGTTATGTGGTCCCAAAATGTTGTTTTATTAACATATGCTCTCTTATGAAGACAAAGAACAAAATAAAAGCAAACATCGCCCTGGAAGCAGATCTTTACGCAGCCGATATTGACATCTGCGTGGTATCCGAAACCCACCTAAAAAAGGTTGTACCCGATGCTAAGGTCGCGATCACGAACTACACAATTTACAGAAGAGATCCAGTGATTGGTTTGGAAATGACAACAGGGCAAAGGGTGGAGTTGCTGTGTACATTAGAAATTCTGGTAATCGCAAGATTCTGGATGTCAGGCGTTCCGAAACCTTTGAGTGCATTTACATTACAATGACATTTAAATTACATTTACATCATAAAATGATGATATGCGGCCTATATCATCCCCCGAAACCGCGATACATAAAAGATGACTTGATCTCTTATCTAACTGACATATCTGATCTGTTCCTGGACGGTTCTCCGGATGGCACTGTTATGATCGGCGGCGATTTGAATAATATACCGTAAAATTCCGAAAATAAGCCCCTCCATGTATAAGCCCCTCCAAATATAAGCCCCCCAAAATCGTAACGCAAAAAACCCTCCGTTAAATCGCCCCTCCGAATATAAGCCCCCCGGGGGGCTTGTACTTGGAATTTGCCCTCGAATACAAAGTAAAACAAAGCAAAAATGGTAAATTTCCTTGCCACTACAAGCTAGCCCAATCGATTTTGAAACGCAAATTTCCCTCCGTACATAAGCCCCTCCGAATGTAGGCCCCTCCAAAAATAAGCCCCTCAAAAAGGGCCTTAGAAAAATATAAGCCCCGGGGCTTATTTTCGGAATTTACGGTAAATCTTGACAAACTCTCGGCGTTAAGTAGTCTCACAGCATTGCTTGACTTCCTCACGAGGGGCACTTCTATTCTAGACAACTGCCTTACAAACAATTGCGCTTATTCTCTAAGTGTTATCCCTTTGACGCGCAAATAAAGACTGATCACAGAGGCGTTATTGTGCCTGCAGGGGCGAAACTTAAGCCCATGAGATACAAATGCTCAATGCACGATTATAGGGAGCATAGAAAAATTGCGTTTCATGCAAAACTTCTAGAACAAAGCTGGGACGTTATTTTTGACAGCGAAGATGTGGAATCTTCTTCTCGTTAGTTTCAATCAACGCTCCGTTACCTTATGAATGAAAACTTTCCAGCTAAAACCGTGGGTATGTCTACGCGTGATCCACCATGGATGACTCCGCTGGCTAAAGCTCTGCTGAAGAAAAAAGCCAAGGCTAAATGCCACAGCCCGGATGGATGTCCAATTAATCTTAAAGAAAGAATTAACGCGATTGTTACAGAAAATCGTAAATCGCTTGCGAGTGGAAAGATGGGCTCTAAGGCCTGGTGGAAAAAGGTCGATGCGCTGTCAAAGAGAAAAGAAAGGTCCAACCCCAGCTTTGACGAGGACTCTGTGAGAGAACTTAATCATTATTTTGCAAATTTTTGTCACGATGAAGATTATATCAGACCCGTACCCATGGACATCACGGAAAACATTCCTGCACCACAGCTCACACTGAGCCAGGTTTACTACGCTCTGCTCAAAACAAAGCAAACATCTACCGGCCCAGATAATATACCATTCTGGGTATGGAAGGAGAACGCTGCCATATTGGCACCTGCAGTACAAGCAATCTGGAACCCATCCTTGTCACCTCGTGGCCCAGTGCATGGAAGCAAGCTAATGTCTATCCGCTACCCAAAGTAGACATTCCAGTCCAGCCTCAGGACTTTAGGGGAATCTGCGTTACACCGGTAATTGCTAGGATTTTTGAGCGAGTAGTGTATAACACCTTTGGTAAAGAAGGTGTGGAGAGTTACTTGAATAATAACCAGTTTGCGTACAGAACAGGAGGCAGTTGTACAAACGCGCTTCTTAAAATACAGCATGAATTTCTCCAAGCTTTAGATAGCAACGATAACCGAGCAGTCAGGCTGTTTACGATGGATTTTTCAAAAGCCTTTGACAGAGTCAAGCACAACTTATTAATAGAGAAATTAACACAGAGCCCTTTAAACCCATACATTGTCAACTGGTACGTCAGCTTCTTGCCTGACAGAAAACAAAGAGTGGTCTGTCATAATACTGTTTGTGATTGGAAGGATGTCAACCGCGGTACTACTCAGGGAAGCGTCAGCGGCCCGTATTTGCTTAAACTGTTCTTAAACGATCTCGACGTCGCTCAGTACTGCCAGGATGGCGATCTTACTAAGTATGCAGACGACACTTCTATTCTTGTGACTGTGCGTAAGAATAGTATAGATGAATCACAAAAGGCACTGAATGCATTTTTGGAGTGGACAGAGGTTAATGGTATGAGCTGTAACACGAGCAAATGCAAAGAACTCTGTATGGCTAATAACGGTGTCACACCTAACTACCCCCCTCTTTGCGGCATAGAACAGAGTGACAGTTTCACTCTATTAGGTGTCACATTACAAAACGACTGTAAGTTTTCATCGCATGTTAAGGGAAAGCTTCGGGAAGCAAACAAGTGTTTGTACATTTTAAATCACTAAGAGAAGATGGATACACGGAGGTAGAGATAGATCATCTCTTTAAGGCTATTGTTCTGCCAAAGATCACATACGCACTTCCAGTATATGGAGCCAGCCAGGTAAATTTAAACACAAAACAATGCTTTTTAAAAAGGTGCAATAAGCGACGTTACACTTCTGAGTTAATTAATATCTATGACCTTTTTGAGAAGTGTGACCGCAGGTTGTTCACCAAAATTAAGAAAAATGTTAACCATCCAGCCTAGTCCCTAGGCGTTCTCGGCTCGGTCAAACCTGGATTCTACCGTGAGCTGTGACGTCACCGAGAGATACACGCCGAGAACGCCCGCTCTTTCCCAGACTTCGCGCGGACAACGGGACAAGAGAGAACGCCTAGGGACTAGGCTGTTAACCATCCATTATATGCCCTTTTGCCGAAAGTCAAAGAGTAATCCAAGAAGTTAAGACCACAAACAAGTCGATTACCACGGATTAATACAGAACGTTTTAAGAATTGCTATTTTAATAGAATAAGGTTTCAATACAACTTGGCAATTTAACAATATAGATATCCAATGTTTTATTAGGTTTTATATAATAATTGTAAATGATCTGTGCGATTTTCATGATTTGTATACCTTTACTCTCTGTAACGTTTGTTATGTACTTTAACCGGCGAAATAAGACATTTATAATAAATAATAATAATAATAATAATAATATAATATACAATATTTATAGAGCGCTAATTCCCAATGGTCCAAAAGCGCTTTACATAATAAAAATAACAACAAAATCCTAAACCTACAAAACTACATTGTCATTCTATAAAAACTCCCAATGGTCCAAAAGCGCTTTACATAATAAAAACAACAACAAAATCCTAAACGTACAAAACTACAAAACTACATTGTCATCCTATAAAAACATCATCATTCTATACGACAACATCATAACGAATTTTAAAAAACCAAGTCTTGAGCTTAGATTTAAAAGAAGAAAGGGAATTACAAGATCTAAGTTCGAATGGAAGTGCATTCCAAACAGAAGGTGCAGCAATGGTAAAAGACCGGCCACCATAAGTTTTAAGATTAAATTTAGATGTAGAAAGTAAAAATTGATTAGAGGATCGAAGAAGTCTACCAGGTGTATAAGGCTTGATGAGATCAGTGATATAGCTAGGTGCAGCACCATGAAGTCCGTTCGATAAGACATGTTGCATTAGTCTGCAAAACAGTCCGTATTTTTGCGTATTCAAGTACGCGCGAGCAGTTAAACAAAAGGTCTGCGACGAAGCTGAAAACAGAGACGTGTGAGGCTTCGCGCGCGTAAGACTCTTACGCCACGCTTTACCGATTTCTTTACTGATTTTGAGAAAAAACCCGACTGTTTTGCAGTCTAATGTTACATTTATTTACATGTTACATTTTATTATTTATTTAATATTTATTATTTGTGTCGCGACTAGCGGCGGGAATGTGCCTCGGCGTCCATTTTTTGAGCTATTTTGAAAAAATAGCTCATATGTCAGTCGTGTTAGCGTATGTATCTTTCTGGCTTTGTATCTTTGTAACTTTGTATGTTCGGATGTTTGTTGCAAGAGCCAATAAGGTTGAAGGTACTATGAGTTGATGCTTAGGAACCAATGAGATCTTGGCATCTACTTAAACATGACATTGCTAAAGAGCTCTAAAGGTCGAACAAGGGCACTTTGAGACCGCCATCTTGATTCTTGACAATTTTTTCGTCGTATATTACGGCTACAGGTGTTTGGAAACATTATATTAAACATCTTCATGATTCAAACGCTGTGTACAGTGATGCAGCCGTTTAAGGGTTCATATTTTAGTGAGGATGCTATTTCAAGACATTTCTGACCGAATTCAGCTATCGCGAACGGTACTGACGCGCGTATTTATGAGTTGTGTTTCACCTGCTTCAAGGTAGAGTATAAAAGATCATATATTTTCAAAGCTCTTCCAGTGAAGCAATAATTGATATTTAGATATGGACTTTAATTTGAAAGTATGCGGCATATAAAATGTGGTTTTACAAGTTTGAAAGGCAGCTTATTTTTTTTAAAGATGCACCGAGTATTGTTAATCCTGTAAACAAGCTTTAAAAATATTATTCTCTCGCTTACAAAGTTAATAAATGTTAGGCTATCAACCTTGACGTTGCATGAAACATAATTTAATTGCCGATGTTGTAATGAAGCCGAGGTGATTTCTTAAAATCGTTGAGAAAATTTTGTAGTAAACAATTTGCGTTTTTTTTTACGTACGAATTGTAAAAGGGCCAAAGGCCAACATCTTCACGTGCAAATTGTGTGCATGAGTTATTTTTATAATTCTGTTTACTAGATTAACGTGTGATAACTCGAATTCCCTCACGTACGAACCACGAAAGGGGGCAAAGTCCAACACTTTCACGTGCCAGTTGTGTGACTGTACGTCTCATGCAGATTGGCTTTTTACAATAATAATAGTAACTTGAACGTACGAAGACCTGTTTCGTTTTGTAACCAATGCCTTAAAAAAGGCTCTTTTCTTTTAAGAAGCAATAGCTTTTAAAACATGAAGAAATAAGTTGTTGGAGTTAAGGACTGTTTCACTGAGTAGAATCGCACGTGAAAACCTCGTGAATTGTGATGATGCAACCATCTACCACAATGATAAGAATCCTGGTATTTCTTAACTACTCGAATTCGATGAGTCACATTTTGGCTTAAGAAACTCCGAGGAAACCTTAGAGTTTTCCTTCTAATCAACGTTTGGAGTAGATATTTATTTTACTTTAATAATTTGTTGAACTTGCACCAAATGTAACAGGGAAAGACAGAGGAAAGTGAATATATAGCATGAGGGTCGACGCAGCTGAGCGTTTCGCGTTTTCATTTATGTACGGCAATACCCAATTTTGCACAAAAACCCAGTCTATATTTAGGACGAAAAAGGTAGATTCATCATTCTTGGTAATTCTTGCGTTTTGTTCGTCGCTGCGATTTAACCAGTTATAATCTTAGAGAGAATGAATACAAGCTCGCTGTTCCACAACCCCGTACTGAATTTTATAAAAGAAGTCTTTCTTACAGCGGAAGTGTGTTATGGAACGGCTTGCCTCTGGAGATGAGGCAATTGACATCCCCTAGTATATTTAAGGGAAAATTAAGAGACGTAAATTTCGATTGACAAATAATTTAATTAGCGATTTTCTGTTTTTACACACGGCCTCCTTGAAAAGCAGGTGTTTTCTTTTCATCTTTATTATTTTAGTTTTTATCTTAGATTTTAGATTAGTTAGGAAGTTAGTTTTTCTATACTTCAATGTAAATGTATACCTGAAGGAAATACCGTGTTTAAATAAAGTTACCTTACCTTACCTAAGGTTACATTGAAGCATTGAAAATAGCTCATGCACGTTTAACGTGCCTATGTTTTTTTTATTGACATTACCACGTGACAATGAGACCCGAGCATGTGTTTTTGAGTCTTTGCGCCGAGTACAATGTTCGCGTTTTGATAGTCGACTTCTCGACAATATCAAAGTGTTTTCTTTAGCTGCGGAGTCTGGCTTCCCAATTATGTAGCATGTCTTATCGAAGGCTAATTCCAAATGAAGTCGCAAAACCACCAATCCTTAATTGGGTTTCTTTCTGTTTTTAGTATTGATCCTTACGAAGGAGACCAAAAGAAAGCCTTGTCATGGGGTGCCACCCTGAACCACTCGAGGGAAAACGCCAACGTCAAGCCTTACGTTACAGACAGAAACTCAGCGAATCCACGTGTCTTCCTGGTGGCTGAATAATGACCAAACCTCAGAGTGCTTGACTGATAGCCTGACCCTGATGGATTTTTAAAAAAATCAATCAACTACTTTTGTTATTTCTTCTTGTGTAACCGTAGTCAATTTTATACTTTTACACACTTTAAAATTAACCAGCAAAATAACTATCAAATGAGAAAGTTTCCCAGAGTATAATTTCGAAAGTATAACCAACCCTACGTCTGCCCTGTGAAAGCGTTATGTCAGAAAAAGGCACTCGCGCCAAGTCTCCACAATTTGCAGCAAACGCCAACGGCTTTGAAAGTTTTTAATACCTCAGTAAGGGGCGATCGCATTCCCGGCAAAATCCATCAACCCTGTGCCAAGACAAGCATTAAAAAATGTTCGATTTGAGGGGAAAGTGTCTACACACAATCTCAATTTCACCCTCTCCACTGAGAGACTGCACCTCCCACTGAGCTCTGCAATTATCATGATAATCATTCTCGGCAGAGGCCTGATTCAGCTGGCTAGGGCAAATTAAGAACAAGCTACTTGCCAGTCAAAGCCTCTAGTGAACACCGCAGCCTACTGAAGGGGTTGTGTCAAAACAGCCCCCTCCCTACCCCACTAGTTTTGACCCCAGGGCCTGATCCACCCACCCACTGTTAGGGCAGTTCCTGGGCTACCCAGCTGTACCGACCAAGACGGCAAGCCCCCTACTTTTTTGGACACCGGACGGGCTGCGCCCAGCGTCAGGCGCCAGGCGAAAACCTAGTGGACACGTTTGAACGAAATCAGACAGATATTTACTACGAAAACTCTGACCGATTTCCGTAAGGCGGTGGCTACCGGTGTGAATCCGCGCCTGCTAGACATCCCGAATAACCCAGACTATCCGTTTCCCGCTTCTTTCGTTCCTTGACAAACAAAGAACAACACTCACCCACAAAACATTTCCAAGAGCTTCTGAAACCGAAGCGCGAACGTCATCAGTTGACAGTGCTGCCATGGCGAATAAACCATCCCTGATCTCGAGCAGAAATGGAGCAAAAATCTGAGTGTTTTCTGAGGCCTTAAGATGTGCACAAAATCTGCAATCAAGAAGCAAACATACAATACAACCCCGGTAACTCGAACTCGAATAAAACAAAACTCCCCGCTAGCTCATACACTGTACTTTCATTTCACTTCTCTAATCCCAGTTTTCAGTAATTTTTACTCGGTTAACTCTTGTCGTCGTCGTCACCATCACCATCATCATCGTCGTCGTCATCAGGGAGCTTAAGCAACTACGACGACGACGACAACTTCAAAAAACAACAGGTTTCATGATCAAAACAACAGCTCTGCACGTGCATCACGCCTTTTAGTACACTTCTTTGACGTCCACTGCACGACTACGACGTGAAACCTCCTAATTTGACGTTTTACGGAGGACGTGGTCATACGACGACGAATTTTCCTTCCACTCTTTGAACTTGAATAAAATCCTTAAGAATTCAACTCCAGGAAACGTCGCCTGCATTTGACATATTGAGCGGGTCCAGACAGACGCGATTAAGTTTGAAAGAAGGCAAATTCATTTCTTTAGCGACGTTTTCACTGCCGTCGTCGTCGTCCTCGTTGCTTAAGGTCCCTGTCATCATCATCATCACCACCACGATCATCATCATCATCGTCATCGTCATCATCATATTAAAGGAACAGGATCACGATACTTGGCATGTGTGAGTTCTGACAGTAGTTGATTGTGTTTTAACCAATCGGAAGCTAGTTAGATGCGAGCCAGGAAATTTAAGTTTACCATAATCTACTATGACGTAAAGACGTTTTTGTCTAAAAGCACAGACCTACCACTTACTGTACACACTTACTCGAATACAGCTCGGACAGCCGATTTTTTGATGACAGTGTTTTCCCTCGATTGAAGGCCTGTCACCGATACTTCAATAAAACTGAAATGAAAACAAAGAAGAGGGAACTCTCCAGTAAGCGAAAATTTGTTTCAAAGAGCAAGTTGAAAAGGTTAACTGAACAGCAAATTCAAGAGCTGGCTTTTCGAGTGTTAAAGGGGCGTGGTGGTTCCATTTTTTGGCAATTTAGGCAACTACAAAAAAATCACAAAGTTGGCTGAAATAACAAAATAACCGTTTCAGACTGAAGACGAACAATGAGGAATACAGTAAAGCCAGATAGAGGTAAGAATGGGTAAAACTGGAAAGTGGTCATTATTTTTGTCAATAAAACGCGTGTCTTTCGGCAGTTTGTAGTTCACAGCTCGTGCTCAGCAAGGACAAGGGCTATAAAGCCTCGCTTACAGGGTGTCCCAAAAGTTCGTTCCTCTACTTTCTAAGACTGTAATGTAGTCCGATTGGACATCGTAAGCAAATCGCTTAAACAAACCTTGCGTTTCATTATATAATTTAATATTTTATACTTGGTGTGCCATCTTGTGACTCTAATATTCGATTTGAGTACTTCGCGCCAAAGGTGCGCGTGCGCGAGTACATTTTCCCGCCACATATTTTTCGTATTCTGTAGCCCAATTTGCTCAAACTCCTTCCTTGTGTTTTGTGAATATCATGAAAGAAAAAACCCCATAAACGCAAAAACGTTCAGCTACATGAGAGCATAAGCATGTTTACTTCGATTTACCGGCTTATCAGTAGAAATAACTGCTAAAAAACCGGAAAAATCCGAATGTTGGTTTGGTGAAATGGTCATCGAGAAATGAGGGTTTTGAAGACAAAAAAAGAAGGGGAAGACTGATAGTCCTGAATAAAACGGCTAAAATAGTTTTGAAGAAGGTTAGATATAAAAGAGTCTTCTCAGCGAGATAGCTCTCACGATAGTTAGCAAGCCAAGTTTAGAGCAGTTTCATGAAAAGCGAAGGTTAGAAGCCCCAGAAATGACAACAAAACCTCTGCTTAGTCTGCCAAACACAATCAGCTCGTCTCAAATTTGTAAAGATGAACAAAAGCGTTACTCTGGATAGAGGCTGGGATGATTATCTTTTTTTGGATGAATGCTTAAAGTATATTTTTTTCAGCTGCCTAAACTGAAAAAAATGTTGTTTGGGGGGGGGGTCGAAGTGGAGAAGTGGCTCCCGCGTACCAGGTGATAAAAAGGCTCAAAATAGATTTTGTGGCTCTACATGCTGTATCCGACTCCAAGCCGCAACGCCTACAGAATGTGATAAAAAAACAAAGGCGGAATGCTGGTTACTGGAATTCTGAATACATGTACTCGATAAAGCAATAAACATCGTTTAGAAATTTCATGCAAGAATAAAGCTTTGATCAAAAGTTATAGCGCATGAAATTAGAGGAACGAACTTTTGGGACACCCTGTATACGTTCGTCTTACCCTGTGTACCGCCCCACCTCCCCCTGTTTATCAGAGGGGAGGGGGCGGCCGAACACCGGCTACGTCCGTTTGTATTTTTTTCCTGGTACAGGTGAATGTTGTAGTAAAAGAAAAGTTGGAAGCGAAGCAGGGGGAGGAAGGGGCATATCTGAAGGGGCCACAGGGGTTACTCCCTAAAATGGCCTATACGGGGAGGCTCCGCCCGAAAGGGTACCTTTTTCAAGCTTCAGGTATATGAAAGGGTAGGGAAATCTCTCATTGTGGCCTGTGAAAGGACCCAAAAGGGCTAACAGACGCTGTGAAAAAGACTAGAAAACTTTCTGGTTTATCAACTTTTTCATATTTAAAAGGTGTAAAGGCGATGTTACACAGGACGATTCACAACCACGATTTTTAGCGCAACACAGCGTTGGTATGTTGGAACAATGTTGTAACCATTCGAAACAAGACGCTGTGGGAGCGTATATTTGGGCGTGGATGTAATACGCGTATGATACTTTGAACATGCACAACTGTCATCATATCTTACCAGAGAAGATAAATCCTTTACTCTACTTGTTTGCTGAACCACACAGCTTATACAGTATGTCCCAATCCACAACAATAATCCTGTCATTTCATGACAATGTTTGAAAATACGGTATGCACATCTTCAATGCTGACATGCTTGGAGCCAAATTGCAACATAGGACATAAGTGGTTACAGCCCGGAGAGTAAGGTTTATCTCAGCTCCACTGATACTGTCACTTTGAGGAAGATTGACTGACAGATGTGTTTTCACACCCATCACATTGTACAGTATATTCCAGTTACTAACAAGGGCAAATAAAGTTCCTTAAGACCAGTATCCACGAGGATTAATAGGAGAGTAACACATTACATAAACTGCTATAGGGCAGCACTGTTTACAGGAACAATGCTTGAGAAAAGATGAGCTTCAAAGGTGGCAATATGTACACCTTTAAGTTCACATATATATATATATATATATGCTCATTCTTATTTAGAGTCTGAAATATTGTACTAATATTATTTATGCATGGATGGTATTTCCAACAATACACGTCCCTTCACTATGACTGTTATGATACATATCTCTAGCATGAGAATCAAATACTTTATATACCCCAGCCTCAATGCTGTAGATACCAACACCAATAACTGCCACCGTTAAATTAAATGAGTTGTAGTTCAGTGCCAAGAGTGTTTTAAATGCTGAACCCTGTGAGTGACATATACAGTAGTGATACCCCTCAATTCTGGGATCACCTGGATGTTACAAGTATAACTGTCACTGTATTTAAGGTGGAAAAATTGCTCAAACACTGTAACCATTCCTGGTAATTCTGTTAACATTAACATAGATTGTCTTTCAAGCAGTGACAGACTAGAACATAATTGAATACCAACAATCATTATTTGAGTCATATCATGAACTGAAGTAATCTTTGTTATCTTACTGTAAATAAAAGCGCACAGACTCATTGCGACACATTGTTGTTTCCTTGACAGTATGGAGCATGAATTGTTTTTGTAGCATCTACATAAACTGAAGGTCCTGCATTCTTCTCGAAATCAGTACAAAGCTTAAATTGGCCAAAATTAACCCGGTGATTCAAACTGTTGTAAGCAGTATAAAATGGATAATTGCATGTACAGATGGGCAAATTCTTACTTAAAAGCCTATTTGGATATCTCATTCCACCTAAATCGCCTGTGCTTTGATGCTTAGATGACAGATACACCTTCCCTCGTTTACGAACTAGTTTTGGAGTTGCCCTTTAAGTAAAAACCTCACACTGTTACAGTTACTTCTGTACCTATTTAAGTGTAGACCTGTAACAATGAATTTCAGACGACAATGGTGTATTTTTCCGAATACCCCTTCATACAAAAAGCCTCACCTTCTGTGTTTTCTGTAACAAAGATTTTAATTTCTTTATCGGTAGTCTGCTTGGTGCACGATCGCGTCGAGAAAAATGACTAACCTCATTTAAACCAACGGAATTGCAAGTTCTGTTATAAATAAATTTCCCACGCCGAGATCTCAATTCAATTTGTTTTATTTCCTCCACAACGCAATTTTCCTTCTTTACAAATAGCTCATTACCTTCTCTTGTCGTCACCTGGCTGCCATCAAAACACTCTAACACAAAACTTGCTGATAATGCAAAATCCCGAAGCACAGCATCGTACATGTACCGCGTCACAATATACACAATTAGATGAAAAAAACACAACAAGCAATACAAAAACAAGCACATTAACTGTCACCCTGCTAAACAAAATTGAAATAATAAAAAGAATTGTTACAGTTATCACAGTAGTTCCAAAAGAAGCCTCAGTCCCTTTTGGTTTCAAATGCTGACAATCGTCTCTTCCTTCATCGGAACAGATGTTTATCACAGGCAACTCGTTATGTTCCGCAAGGCAAAAATCAAAATCACTATTGTCACACTGATAACCAGCTACACAAATCTTGCGACTCTCAAACTTGTTAAACATTCCTCTGTTCAAACTCTTATCCATTTTACACGTACACTCCTGATATTCCGATTTGTCATTGCGGCTATGGGGTCCATGAGTCTTTGATGTCACTGAATGTCTTGATAATTTCCTTTGTTTTTCTTTGAGTTCGCGGACCAGCCCATTCCGAAAACACTCAGTGTTATTTTTCAGTGTGGGCCTACAGCGAACAGTGTGTGCATTTGTAAGTTTAACCCGGGATAACATAATTGAACAATATATTAACACGTTCCTCGAAACGCCGCGGCCAAATGTTATCCAAACTGCTTCTTAATGCTGCTTCGAAAAATTTCGGATCGAACGATATCCAAATCGTTGCTCATTGGATTATTTACTCGACCTAACAAAATCGACCAATCACAAAATAAGGAAAAGAAAATGGACATAAAAAAAAGAAAACAGCAAATTCAGATGACCTCTTAGGAAACATGCAATTAAAACTGTCTTTCTATGATTGGTGCATTTCGATCCTCTCGTCAAAAAAAACGTCAGACGCCAATCATCTTAGCGGACCTCTTAGGAAACGTTGTTTGTGATTTGTGATTGGTGGATTTCGATCCGTTTTGTGAGTTTCTGTGTTTCAATGTTCGTTGCTTGTGATCTTATTGCGACCAAAACCCGACGTTTTTTGAGAGATTTCATCCCTGGACTTCAGACTTCCACAGTTCGATGAGGTAAAAATACTAAAGATTCAGATTAACTTTAAAAATGCGATAAAAGTGCGATAAAGTGCCGTGTGCTAGCAGAGCTTTATTTCCACATGCCTCTTACCCTGTACAAGACGTTCGCATGCCTATGGCGTTCCATTTCCGCCAAAATTCAATGTTCCATTTTACATTCTACTTTGCACAATCTATCCTACACTTTGTGTTTGTCATTTGAGTTTGCACTCGCGATTCAACTTTTTTGCATTCAACATTCAACTTTGATTTATGCAACATTCAAGTTTTCGCTTTCGACATTCAACTTTTCATAAGCAACAGTCAGGTTTTGGAATTCTACCTTCAAGTTCAGTGGAATGTACATTCATTTTTTCTCATCCAACATTTAGCATTTGTCCTTTAAGTTTTCGCTTCCGACATCCGACTTTGAGCATTGTACTTGCAAGTTTCCGCATTCGACATTCAACTTTTCGACTTTGACTTTTACCCGCTGGTCAGCGACCGATTAAGATCGTGGGCTCAATTGACCTGACCTACCCCCGCTCAAATGGTGGTCGAGAGACTTCCCAGTCGAGTGGACTCGGGAGACCTTCTCCACTCCCGACAAACCAGACGTCGACAACAACATGGCCGATCGCCAGTATGCTGCACAGTCTTCGAGGGAGGTGAGTGTTGTCCAACTGACTTCTGCCTTCTTTAGTGGGACACTATACGTGACACAAACAGGGAGGCAACGCGCTACCTGTTTGCATCTCTTCAGCTTAATTTAAAAAGGTAAAGCATGTTTTGTAGTGATATTTAGCATAAATACCACGAGTGATATTTGAAATTTCACGAGTGAAATTTAAGACAATTTTGAAATGTCACAAGTAGTATTTATACCAAAAATCACGTACACATCATGCTATTATTTGTTTATACTACTACCTGCAAAGGTTTTGTAATTTTCATATGTAAGTATTTCAAATTAAGCTTAAGCTGAAATACCACTGCTCTAAGCCAATCAAATTGCAGAAATTTCTCATGTAGAAGTAGCTTAAATATTCCCCCAGAAATTGTATTCTCATGCGATAAGCGCTGTTAATTGATCAATTTGTTTCATCTTGAGATTACTCAAATATTTGATCCCGCAGATGTCTGATGACAAAGCCTATTTAAATTTAGCTGTCTTGGATATCATCAGTGCTATAGACAGATTTACAGGGTCTGCAGATCCATCAGTAGATTTCCAACCAATAGTTTTCAAGTTGGATTTTCTGCAAAGAATAGCTGTCGGCCTCGATGTGGATGAACTAGTCACAGAATTGATTGGACATGCTTACAGGATGTTGGTTGAAATTGATCAAAGAAACCTTCTTAACTATGCATATCAAGCTCCATTGAATAGTAGAGGGCAACGAGGGAGACCTTCATATGAAATCAGCGAGGAACAGCTTCATTTTTTACTTGAGCAAGGGTTTAAAGTATGTGACATAAGTAAAATCCTTGGAGTGAGTGCCAGGACAGTTGAGAGGAGGATGTCAACATTTGGGTTGAGTGTATCAGGTATAAAGTAACATGAATCTTTTATTTTTGTCTAATGAGATGATAAACTACTACAAGGACAATTTTTATAACAAAGTGATAATATTTAGTACAGGATTAAGGCTATAAAAAAGTAATGTTGATAGTTGTTGCACCAAGCAGTGGTGATTAAGATTTTGCAAATTAAAATGTTGACTTCCACTTACTTTTACCTAGGGATCCACTCCCATAAATGATAGATTTTTCCTTATACCATCATTATCTTTATTGTTGTTGACCTTTCACACTTCAGGGGTAGCTTGACTGAGAAAAAGTTACAATGTCAAGTGTAGCCTCAGGCCTGAAGAATGTTATTAAATTATTATGGCAGTTTTACATATCTGGATGCCCAGTATTAGTAAAACACACAGAAGTGTTTGAACTAAAATTTTGTTCACCATTCTACCTAGCTTGAGATTTATGACAAAATCATACTAAAATAAAGTTATTATTATTATTGTTATTATTATTATTATTATCATCATCATCATCACCATCATCATTATTACTATTCATTACCCAACACCTACAATGAAAATTTTTTACCCCATTATATTCTTTGGTTCAGGTATGTTCAGTGATATAGAAGACAACCAACTGGATGAGCTCGTTCAAACTGCTTCAAGCCATTATCCTGGAATGGGTATAAGAATGCTCAAAGGTTATTTACAAAGCAAAGGGTTTCGCATTCAGCGAGAAAGAATAAGATTATCCCTGTTGCGAACAGATCCCATTGGTATTATGGAGAGATGGAGAAGTACCACTAGGAGGCGACATTACAATGTTAGGTATCCACTCTCACTATGGCACATAGATGGGAACCATAAGCTGATAAGGTACTGATAAAGATACCTGTTGTACAGTGTACATTGTCATAGTTTCCCCTCGTGATCTTGTGCGTGGGTCCAAGTTAAACACAATCAAAATTCTGCGACTGGATACCTCCTGTAAACATACACACCTTGAATGAACCAAAAAGAAAACACTAAACTGTGGCCACAACACCAGCTAATGCAAGACTTTTTAAACTGTGTTTTAGCTACAGTTGAAGACATTGATCATGATTGATAACTGTTTCCCTGTCCCCATCTTTTTAACCCTTGCAGGTAACACCAAACATGATAAGGTTGCCCTAACAGGAGCTTTTATTTTTTGTTTGTCACTCTTATATGTAAATTAAGGGGTTTTTTTAACAGATGGAGAATTGTTATACATGGAGGAATCGATGGCTTTTCTCGAATCCCAGTCTATTTGAAGGCCTCAAATGACAACAAGGCAAGCACTGTTCTTTCATGTTTTCGTGAAGCTGTGTCAGAGTACGGCCTTCCATCTCGGGTCCGCTCTGACAAAGGAGGGGAGAACGTAGATGTAGCAACCTATATGCTTACTCACATCCAGCGAGGGCCAGGCAGGGAAGTATGATAACAGGTACAGAGTACTGCATCATTATTACTTAGATTAGACTATGAGCAGTCCCCATTTTTCCTCAGGGATAGTAGAGCGCATCTCCCGCCGCGTCTCTCCTTTCTCGCGTGGGATGATTTTTATGATGCACGGTTTCACTCAATCTACTATCCGTTAAGAAAAATGGGGACTACTTGTAATCTATCTTTCCTTAGCTAGATGACCTTTCCTGGGTTTGTAATAGATGGGATCTTGAATTCAGGCTATACTTTAAGATCCTGAATAGGTTTTAACAAAGGATGCTACATTTTATATAATGAAATAGGTACTTATGGGATCATGAACTAATCTTGAGGATTTCTAGGCAAGGAGAAATGATGCTGTATGAATAGTATTATATTACTATTAATAACTCACAAGTTTCATTAAATTAGTTTAAGGGGAACTGTTTTCATGAATGCTTGTGTGTGTTGTTAAGAATGAGCATGGTGATTGCCATGCTCCCAAATCCGGTTGTGACTTGTTTTAAGTATGATGGTAATTGAAGAAACTATTAAGCCCGAAGGAATCAAGAGACTATTAAACAATTCTTTCTTTTCTCCTTTTCTTTTTTTTTTTTTTTTTTTTTTAGGGGGGGGGGAGTATTTGACACCAATTGTTAGATAATGTTTAACAGATAATGAAATAAAATAAAATTTTTAATCCATAAAATTTTATTCTTTGCAATCACTAGGAAAGAGCACACACAATGAAAGGATTGGACGACTTTGAAGAGACTTATATGATGGATGCCTTTGCCTCTTCTATGAACTCTTCTATACCCTGGAAAAACAAGGTTTTGTTAAATGCAGATGATGATTATCACCTCTGGTGCCTACATTTTGTGTTCCTGCCTATCATCAACAGACATCTGAGTAATTAGAAAGATGTATGGGTTCACCATCCCTTACGTACAGAAAGAAACAAAACGCCAATGCAGTTATTGATTAGTGGACGGCAAGAGTTATGGGGATTTCATGGTCCTGTGGGTGAAGTGTTCCAGGTATGTAACATGTTTGGTTTCATTTAATCAGCATTACTTGTGTCAAATGTAATAAGTAAAAATTATGATCACCAATCTCTATCCTCAGGCCAGCATTGCAAGAAATTGGGGGTTAATGCTTTGGCAGCACATATGTAACAAATTGCTTACAATAATCCTTTTTTTTTTAGGGCGATTATAGCAACTATGGGATTGATTGGCAAGGTCCCGTCCCAGAACAATGCCCTGATTATGTTGAAGTTCCGGACACAAACTGCCCATTCACTGAGGAGGAAATGCATCTCCTACCTGTAACAGACAATTTAACATATTTAGAGGGGGTTGAAGTATTCAACCAAATCACCAACTTACTGTAATAAGAAACACCCTCAAGAGTCAGTCAAGTAACGCTAAAGGACAAACAAAAAACAAACAAGTCATATATTTATTTAAACTAACAATAATTTTTTCAACCTACTTTTTATCTTTTGACATGTAATCTTACATGTTCAGAACTGGAACAATAAATTGCAACTAACTGTGATAATTATTATTTGTCCAGAAATACTACAGTGACTGTGTTGTTCAAATAAAAACACATACCTTCCAAATAGGTCTTTTGGTTTCAACCTTTCGAATCATTAACGTAATTACAGTGTATGAGGACTATCCTTTGTTGGAACAAGTTGTCATTAAAGGATCCATCTTTCATTTTAAGGAACACTTCATTGTTATAGGGGGACAAATGTGGAGTTGTTGCTAAGGGGTTTTCATACATTTATGAGGTAAAATATTTATTACATTGTGCTTTGCATTAAAACCATGCTTGACCCTGGATTGTGAAATAATCATTTTAGGCTTCTAAAAGACATGAAAAGAAAAACATGAATTGTTTGTGCAAATATAACCATGTATTGATCTTCCTTCATGTGTAGGTGTGTGCAAGTCCATTTTGTGGATTTGATGGTTTTCTGTATGGATGTTTAGAAACTCTCCTTAGCAACAGCAACGGTAACAGCAGAAAATATTAATGAGCAAATAGCCTTGACTTGTTACTAACAAGAAACTCGAAATGTCAACAATGTATACAACAAGATGTAACTTTAACAATGTAAACTCATCACTTACAGGGAGTTGTAAATTGATGTCCAAAAAAATTAACTCAACTTGTAGTCAGAGCAAAATACAATTTGAGAGTATAGAGAACATGCATGATAACAAGGAAGTCTAATAACTTCTGAACTTTGTAGTTACACACAGTTAAATGACTGTCCTGTGGTAGTATTTATGACTGCCTCTAGTGACAAACTTAAGCTATCTTGGTCTTCGAATTGATTTGGAAATGTAATGTGAAACAAACATGTTGATGCAAAGATCGCCGGTACCCTATCAAACTTTACTTGAATTTTTCCCAGGCCAAAATCGGGAAGAGCCTTTGAACCCGTGGCAAAAGAGAGAAATTTTTCCAGTGTGTCAACCTTTGCATTCTGTATAAACATGTGAATGTAACCTGCTACTACACTTTCATTGTCATCCATATCTTTAAGGAACTGAAGCACGCCAATGACAGAATCTGCATTCAACTCTTCCTTGCTGGGGATAAAGAGAGCCTCAAGGAACTCAGGGTATTCTTTCATAGCAGCTCGAAATCCAAGTGTGTTTAAACCCTCCGCCAACTGGTCAAGAATAATCTTAGGGCGGCCAATTACATCATGTATAATGATCCCCTGAATAACCCTCATCTTGCTGTCGTTCTAGAATGAATGAATACGTGAGTCAGCAAATGAGTGAGTGAATGACTGACTGTAGGAGTGTGACTGACTAACTGACTGACCAAGCAAACTACTGAACAGATGAATGACACCTTCAGTGTATTCTAGTTAAATGGTCGTTCTCACAGTAAGCAACAATGCTAGTCAATTCAAACTTACTGTTAATGCAACAGCAAGGCCACACTCAGACAACATACTTGAGCATTCTTCTTTGTCAAGACTACACACATCTTCAGCTTGTGCAACCTAGTATTGATAAAAAAATAAAATCTGATGTGAGTAGTTTTCAATTAAGTTGACTGTAAACTTTGTTCTGTAAATAAACATAGTAATTTTATTGCTATTGTGTGCTGATTGTTGGCAATATCATCATTACATGTATATTTCATCTGTACTGCATATTTGCATATGTTATTAGAAGCAATAGTAAGAAGTAGGCACAAATTTGAGATAATTTTTACAAACAGAACTGTAATGCCATGGTCATGATTATGATGTTACTTGACATTGTAAGGATTGTATACTCATAGGTGAATTGAAAGATGTTCGAGTCACAATCAAAGTACTGTATTCTACTCAATTGATTACAAGCTCCCTTTCAGTCAGTAATTTTAGGATGCACTCAAATGTCCAGTTTGTACCTTGTCAATGAAATGCTTAACAGGCTCTGAACAATCTCCATAATTCATCTTGGCCATTGCTGCATCAATATTACCAGAAGCAATGTAACAGTATACTGAAGGACTCAACACTGGGAAGCCTGGGCCACCTTGTAAAATACTGTGAACAATCATGGTGCCAAAGTATCGCATTAGTCCGGAGGCTACAATATCTGCACTGTACACAGGACTCTTGTATTTGCCGCCTTGAAAGAACATCTTGCAAATGACTTGGAACAACTTTGTGTAAAATTCTCTTGTAACACCACCTGTGTCCACTGCTGGTTGGCCTTTAAACTGGATTCTTAGCTTCTTCTTAACATCAAACTCAGGACTTTTGTAATGGGCCAATGCATCGTTCAGTATCTCCTCCTCCTCAATTTTTACTTTTACTCTCTCTTCACTCATATTCTTCCCAAGCTCCTTTAACAATGACTGCAAGGAATCTATTTTCTCTTTTGAAGGGGGAAAAGAAGGCTGTAACAGGCTGTCATCATCACTGCTAAAATCATCTTCAGGTAAATTACTGGAAAGAGAAAGAGCCACAGCACCAACAGTCCCGTGTAGACTGAGGGCTCGCACCAAGTCATCTCGACTTTTGTCCGGAAACATCTCCATTAGTTGTTGCAAGGTTTCCTCCTCTGTTGTTTGTCTAGATGGACCAGGCTGTGGTTCTTCTCCATTGTCATCTATGTGTAATGGTACTTCACCTGCAATAACAAACGAAATCTTAATATGTACTAGCATTATTTTAAATAGCAGTGCAAATGCAGGTTATGTCACAACCACAATAATACATGTAAATTGTTATTAGCCAATGCACAACCCCCCCTCTCTTTTTGTGGCTCAAAGTATTCACGACCTTGAAGTTAGGCTGCTGCTGAATAAACTGAATATATCATGTAATGCTTATTTCTTTGCCTTTTCACAAAGTAATAAAAATAACTCAATAAAGGCAATTTTATTGAAGACTGAACAGCTATGCAGAGACAGTCACAAGTAAAGTAATGTTACATAATGAAAATTTGTGTGTTGCATAATTTAACATCTAACAGACAAGGTTAGTAATAGCCAAAGGTATATTTAATATACCTTTGGCTGTTTTTACTTGTTGGTTCCAGCTGAAAGATGTTCATTCTTCATTTTTCTGCAGGGAGTTGAATTTCACCCCATTTCTAGATTGATTTAAATGATCCCCCCAAAAATGTGGTGGCTGTCAATGTTTTACCCCATGGTTGGGAGGGTAGGTATGCACAGTCTGCCCTGCTATTTTTTTATGGCAGTGCATAAACAACAGACTGGCAGCACAGGAAATGCATTTCCCATGATCCCTTAGGAGATGTCACCAGTATTGCGTGACTTGAATTGATGCAATGACAATGAAAAGTCCACCCGAATGAAAAGTCTACACATTATAAAAAGCTGACCAAAACTGAAAACTATACCAACCCAATGTCAAGTCTAATAAAGAAAAATCAACCCAAAAAGGAAGTCTGTGCAAACTAAAAGACAATGTGTACCCCAAAACAGGGAAAAAAATGTGAAAAAACAAATTTTATATTAAAAATTTGCATCATAATTTTGGCACCAATGGCATGCCATATGATCCTTGTAATTTACTTCCAATACAGGGAAAGCTTTATTATGACACGCCTTATGAAGTTATGATGAATACTACTCTGCTGGATCTTGTCCCCTTGCAATACACACCTTCATCCTGCTGCTGCTTCTGTGACTGAGAAGGCTGGAGCATTGGGGGAGGTTCCCAGTTACTGTCATTGTCTATAAAAAACATAATGTTACTGAGTGGGTTTTGAGTTCCTTTGATTTACAGCACTCTACTTCAAATATAAGATAACAGAAAATACATCCACTAAGGGAGGAGGTCCTGGGAGTGGTACTGGCATGTATCTTTGCCACAAATAAGTATGTGCCACTGTAAAGGGTAATGGTTTTTAAGCAGTTTACTCTGGGATAGGGTATATCAATCAGAGAGTTTGGGTCTAGAATAGGGTATTATTTTCCAGGAATTGGTTGAAAGTTTTAGTCTACAATAGAGAAACTGGGAATTGACACTCAAAAATATATAAAAAAATCAAATCAGCACGTTTAACTTTACAAAACTCAGCCTACAAAACTACTATAGGATAGTAGTCTAGAATAGAGTAGCAAAATTCAGCTGAACTAGCTCTGGTATAGGCTAAGGGTCCCAGGGTCCCCAGTAGCACATCCCTACCCAGAAATTCCTAAAGTATCCTCCCCTCCCCCCAGGAAGGAGGTGAACTTTGTGATGTAAGATTTGAAGAGGCTTTCTCCTCAGTTAAACATGATTGTAATTTAAAGGTGTCATAACGTCATATCACAAAGAAGAAAGTTCTTCAGCTGTTCAAGTATTCACTGAATTGTACTTTCAAGCCCTAGTTACATTTGCACATTATTTATGACATAAATAAGATACAAAGAGTATGGATCATGATACTCAGCAAGCTTAATGTACTGACCAGCACTGAATTCAAAGTCATCTTCAGGCTGCTTGGTCTCTCCTTGCTGGTGAGTCTCCTGGTGCTCCTGCATATCCATCATGATAATAGCAGCACCACAGGTAAAACAGTTAATCATAGGAACATCACTGTCAACCTAAATAATCATTTAGAAGGGTAGGCAAATCAACAAACATACATGTAAGCAGTAGTTAAAAATACACACATAATTGAAGCGTATAAACAATGTAAATCATGTCAAAATGTTCTTCAGCTACAGTTTGTTTTAGGATTTCCTTTGTTCTGAAAAATGTTTATGAACATGAGACAAATAAAATTAAAAAAGAAAAGAAATACAAAGACTGAAACCACTGTAATCTGAATTTCATTTTAACTTATAGCGTCTACATCTTAAACTTTAACATCATTTCCCCTTTGATATTACAAAAAATCCACTACTTTCACAGTAAGAAAATAATGAAGCTTGATATAATGTATATTCCAGACTAAATTTAATATACTGTACATATATATAACAAACCCATGGGCAGGTTAAAAGAACAAGGTTATAAATTTAACTTAAATAAGCATACATGTACACATACTCTCATCAGTAAATTCAACAAATAATTTGTTTTATTATAAATATTACCAACAATGCTCTCCTCCTAATTAATCCAAAACACAGCTAATTACAATACAAAACCAATTGAACAAGAAATAAAGCGAAAAGAGTCACTGACACTACTATTGTAGCTTGTTAATTTCTGCTATCCAACTTACATCTTCTTTATCTTCTCCACCTTTGTCATCAAGTTCAATGTCCTTTTGGAGAGGTCGTATGAAAATTTTTGCTTGGCCACATAACTCCTTCAGCCTTTGAGGTGTGTGTGGGGGAAGAATTCTGTGGAACCCTGAACCCTCCCCATTACCTCTCTGAAACAACAGCAGGTCAAAACCCCCAACCTCACTCAACTGAGGAAATCGTTGGATGATTCCATTGTACACAGAGCTCTTGTTATACCCAAAGGTAATACTAGCATCACCCAAGCCAGCATTTGCCAGTGCCGTTCTTTCTTTCACAGACATTGGTGGACGGTCTGCCTCTTCCTTGGCAGCTAGACACACAAACTTTAAAGTACATGTAGCATTTCGTTTGGACTTTGGAAGAGAGCTGCCAGAAGAACGTGCTCATTTTGCATTGTTTCCATGGCTAAACAGCCTGCGCTGTTCAGCAGCAACAGAAGCAGACAGAAAAGCAACTGGAGAAGGATTTGTATTCTGTTGTACCTTTCTGGTGCTGTCTAAAAATAAAAAAATTATAATAATAAATATATTCAAGCAGAACCTTCTCAACAGCCAATCCAAACAAATTTAACTACAGAGAGCTCTGACATAATTATTAAATAAATACATGTATGCGGTTAAAAGAGCACTGTAGCTTTTTCTGTATTACCCATTGCTTACATTACTTGAATTGCTCAGACACAAGAGCTTGTGTAGTCTGCATGGGAGGCCAGAGATTGGGGTGCCTGTGGCGTTTATGCAGACCGATTCTTGATTTCTGGGCAACAAATCAAAATTCATTCCTTAATTCTCACACAATAAAGAAATGAGTAAAACATAAAGACAAAAGTATTGCAAGCAAAACCTTTCGAAATATTTCATTCTACGATCGATGCCGTCCATTACGCAGCGTGAAGTGAAGTGATCAAAATGATGCTGCCGCTATTTATGCGTACATGTAAAGCTTGTGTCGGCGCTTACCGCGCGAACTTTATTGAACACATAACTTCTTCATACTTGACAAAGATTGCCCGATACTTACTTGGAGATGGTGTCTCTTCCAACGAGGACAGACGGTCAGCCACCCTCAACAGGGTGGCTCTCACTTCACTTAAGCTAGCAGCTGACGGTTCCGCATCCCGGCGATCGGCCATGTTGTTGTCGACGTCTGGTTTGTCGGGAGTGGAGAAGGTCTCCCGAGTCCACTCGACTGGGAAGTCTCGACCACCATTTGAGCGGGGTAGGTCAGGTCAATTGAGCCCACGATCTTAATCGGTCGCTGACCAGCGGGTAAAAGTCAAAGTCGAAAAGTTGAATGTCGAATGCGGAAACTTGCAAGTACAATGCTCAAAGTCGGATGTCGGAAGCGAAAACTTAAAGGACAAATGCTAAATGTTGGATGAGAAAAAATGAATGTACATTCCACTGAACTTGAAGGTAGAATTCCAAAACCTGACTGTTGCTTATGAAAAGTTGAATGTCGAAAGCGAAAACTTGAATATTGCGTAAATCAAAGTTGAATGTTGAATGCAAAAAAGTTGAATCGCGAGTGCAAACTCAAATGACAAACACAAAGTGTAGGATAGATTGTGCAAAGTAGAATGTAAAATCAAACATTGAATTTTGGCGGAAATGGAACGCCATACATGCCAGACATTCGCCTCGCTTCACTTGTTTACTTGCCTTGTTTACCTTAGCACGTATTGCGTGCCTATTGCACATTTGCGTCAAAACAAGCCGTTTCCACTACTCTATTTGGGCCACGCCCAAATAACAATGTCGCAGCAATGTTGCCACGCTGCATTGAGCTAAAATCGTCTGGTGTAACATCGCCTCAAGTAAACAAGTATGTAAAAGGGGTACCATTTGTCAACAAAAGGCAATCAAAAGGTAACCTTTTCTGTCACAAATGGTATATAAAAGGGTAATATAAGGGGTTGTAACTCGGGGCGGAGACCCCCTCATAAATTCGGTCCAGGGGCCCGTTTCTCGAAAGTCCCGAAAATTAACGGGCCCGGTAAGCTGTCTCCGTTTACATTAAAGATCGAGGTTCAATAGTTTTGCATCTAACATGATAAAAATATCAGTTAGTGAAACAAAAATGGAGTAGTTTGCTAGCCAGGCCTCGCGCTCTTATTATTTGTATTTCGATTTGAATATTTGATTTCGGGCCCGAAAAGTTACCGGGACTATCAAGAAACGGGCCCCAGTACCCCCCGGGGGGAACTCGAAGCACTCCACTCACCTTGCTAGAAGTTGCCGAGTCATGAGAGGAGTGAAACGACTTGCTACCCACAATGCTTTGCCAACTAGAAATGGCGACACTGAAAGGATGAGAACAAATCTGTATAAGAACTTTACTCCTGGTTCCAAATGATAGCAAGTAAGAAAGTTCGGTAGTCAAAAGGGGATCCAGGGATATTTAGTAAGGTGGGACGTTCACGCTTTTATAGGGTGTTTAAACACGACCACGGCCACGGCCATGGCAACGAGAACGTCAAAAAAAGCAATAGGTTTCATTCAGGAACAACAACAACTCTGCACGTGTTGAGTTTGACGACGGCGACGACAACGACAACGTCAAAAAAGCGATACGCTTAGATTAGCAAAACAACAACTCTGCACGTGCAGCACACTTTTCTGTACATTTCTTTGCCATCACTGCACTGCACTGCACGACTACGACGTGAAATTCCCACGAGCGACGATTTATAGAGGACGTAAACACAAGACAACCAAGTTTTCTTTTTCGTCTTAAACTTGGGTTCGTTCCCCAAGAATTCAGTTCCAGTAACATTTACCTACATTTGGTATGTAAAGCGAGTCGTAATAGTCGGGACAAAGTTTGAAAAAAGCAAAGTCTTTTTAATGGTGACGTTTTCGCAAACGTCGCCGTCGTCGTTGCGAAAGCTCCCTATTCAGTAATGCATAGTTTTGTGGAGGACTAACCACACGACGACGAAAATTTTTCTTTGTCTATCTTCACTTGGATGCGGTCCCAAAGAATTCAGCTCCACGAGAATCCACTTACATCTGGCGTATTGAGGGAGTTGGATTTACCGGAACGATGTTCGAAAGAACGCCCATTCATTTCATTAGGGGCGATGTAACGTTAAAAAAGGTCGCCATTATTATTAAAGTATAGCACAAAAGAGCCAAATGTTTTGCATTTGGAAGTTGTTTCACTTGTATTGAAGGTTGTTTACTATTTACAAAATGTTCCAACCGAAAATTCGTGTTCCATTCCTCCAACCTCATCTTTAATACTAGTTTCAGGATTTCGCGGCCGTTTTCCGGTGAATGGAACTGATTTGAATCCAGAATCCAAGACTGTCTTGGATTACTCTACAAGGGGCGAGTCTGTAATTCTTACTGGTCCGCAGCATGCGTCTCTAATGTCGCTCAATTATTACAGTATTTAAGACACGACTTCCTAGCTATTAATTTAAGAAAGAGAGAACGTTCTAGCAGGTGTAGGGAAATTACACGTCTGCAGACCAAGGCCAGATCTTGAAGACGGTCAGATGATATTAGAAGTTTATAGCTAAAACGAACTCAGTTGTACACCGCTGTACTGACTGCTCACTGGCTCACCTGATTCTGGCTGCAGATCCACTGACACAACCTGAGTAAGGAATGACGTCATGTCTATGGGCACTTTGCCATTGGAGACTTTGTCAATGATAATGGATTTAATACATCCCATAGCGAGCATACAGGCCTCGCGTATCTTCCACCTGAAAAGGGACAGGAATTCTGTTGTGTAAACAGGTATAGAGATGGAATAAAGGGCCCCAGCAAATCACAGGAATACCACGCAGCTTGCCCTTAACCCTGGACCGCTACTCTGTCACAGGGTTACCAACGGCGTTATGTTTACCCTTTGCACCCATCATCAACTTTGAGGATCAAATAATTACTGTAGCTTTATCACAATCAGTTTCATATTCTCACCAATTAACATCTCCTTTGCTCTTTCTTTCATTTGCCTCCCGTAGGTGCTTCTTAACTGCTTTTTCTAAAGAAACTGCACCCTCAATCTTAAAATCAGCAGCAACTGCCTGAAAATTAGACAGGATCAATACAATAAAAACCGCGGGTAAGAACCTGGTTCTTAAGAGTCTGCTAGGCTAAAATTTGCAGTTTAGGTCCCTCTATACAAGAACCTGTTTAGCCTAAAATTTGAAACAGGTTCTTATTGTCTAAAATCTATATAATATGAAAAAATTGTACACTTTGGCAAATAAGATAAGTCAACGTTCAGGATCCTCTTTGAAGACATGGGTGCCTTAATCACTCTAACTGCAATGTATTTGTATGCAGACTTTGTATAGGGAATCAACTGAAACCACTAAATACTCTAAGCTACAGTGTATTTTCTGTTCAGTTAATGAAAACCTATTAATTTTAAGAACCTAAACAGCCTTTAACTTTGGAAAATGCAGGTTCTTACTCGCCTTTTTTTCTTTTTATTATTGTAAGTGTTACCCTTACTTTTCTAACGCAGTCTCGACCCCTTTTACTTCATACTCGCGTTCCACGCGAGACAGGAGAACAGGGACCCCTTCTTCTTTTTAACATGAGGCTTCTACAAAGAAAAACCATTAACCAAAAGGTTTTTAAAACAAGTTAAAAGGACAAAATGTCACATACCATGAGGACTTCTTGAGCAGCGATACGAACTGAGAAGGAAAATGTGTCGTCATCTTCATCTTCAACAAATTGATTTGGGTTCGATGTCCACACTTGAACCTGGATTAAAATTATAATAAAAAAAATTGAGATGCGGTCTCACTTGATACACATCGAATCCAAGTGTCAATGCTGACTAGTTGTTAGATGGGTCTTAACCTTAAGCTACGGTAAGGGAGGCAGCAAAAACGCGCAACTTGTGTAGCAAAATTGCAAAAAAAAAAGGTTGGAAGGTGATGTTGCGCATTTTTCCACCAACGTCCAAACCCTCTTGCAACAAATCAGTCTTTTGCGAGTTGCGTGAATAGTGACTTCTGATTGGATACAATTACCCTGGAGACAGTTACGTCACTTGCTGCAAAACAAGTTTGCCTCGGGCCCAGGTGGTATGCGCACTACGATCGCTAAGCATCATGGGCGGTATTCAAAATCTGATCATTTGTGTCAAGATGGCGTGGAGTGAACATCTCGACTGCGGAGTGAATATTCGTTAATTACGCTGTAGATATGTATGATTTTGCTTTGAATCTCTTCCGGAAGCTCTTGAAAAAGAAATTCTGTCCAATTCTCAGGGAAAAAACAGTCTCATTCCGTTGATAAGTGTATTCTGGTGCATTTTGTTCGTAATTATGCACATATCAATGTAAATCCCGTGGGGGGGGGGGAGTGCGGGCAAGGGGAGGGGATTTGATGCCTGGGACTATCCCTGCTGTCGGGCTTTTGATCGTGCAAAGCGACCCCGGGGTCGGGACATTTGACTTTGACCGACAGAAGCCTTTTATCAATTCAGAAGCAGTTACCAAGTCCGTCCCTCGAGGCTTCCTGAAAGTCACGCTGTTGGAAAGTATGAAGTTTTCATTTGTTTTAATCGCCATAATCCGATACTTTAAACTGTCATCTAAACAGATAATGTCTATTTTGAGAAAGTTTTTATCTTCAAGTTCCCATCTGATTGTAAAACTCGATTGAAATCGAATTCCACCATGAAAGTCAGAGGATTTTTTATGAGTCACTGATCCGACCTGCTCCGACCACAGGTAACCCAGGCTCTGTGATAGTACCACAGTATGGTTCCAGTAAAATTACAGTGTTCGTATGGGGTAAAAATATCATCCTAAAATTTCTAGGAAATACTAAATAAAGATCAATGAAACTTACTCTGCTTACTTACTCAATGAAATTCACTCTATCTACAATAATAATATACAAGGTAGGAAACACGAGGTGCCATTTTCGCCGACATGCTATCATTCAACACAACTTTTTCCACGAAATTCGAACTCCAACGGAAAATAAACATGCCAGGATCGTAGAAATAGGATAGCAGCAGATATAGAAACCAATGGAGCTTTCCCAGATAGAGAAACGAATCCCACAGACTTTGACAAACTCGAAGAATATAATCCAAACACACCGAGAATACGCTCGCCGAAGCAGCCGGGCCAGATCAACGCGCGGCCAAGAAAATGAAGCCTGGGCACTGTACAAAAAAATTCCATCCCGGTGGTCCTGGGGTGATCTTTCTAGGGACCGATACATAATTTGCCCAAGGCCGCCCTCCCCTGCTGGAAAAATACTTGATAGAAGGCAATTGTTCTTCCTAGCCAATCACTATGGCCTGTTATAAAGAGATTATTTTCCTCTCGAACTATATTCAGCTCCTGGCGCTGGTCCTCAGAAAGTTTATCAAACATCAATAGGGCAAGGTTATAAGGGCAAAGGAAAGAACAACGAAGGACGATTTACAAAACTTAAAACGAGCAAAAGATATAAGTGAATTTTGGCTCTTACCGAGGCATTTGTACAATAGGACCAAATTCAAAGAGAGGTGTATCACGATGATTCACATATTTAACCGATAGAGCGTTCACTTGTATTGACAAGAAGTCGGCGCGTTACTGCCGCATTAATCGCTAAATATGTTAATCGCGCTAGTTCTTTGTTTACTAGTGCACGTGCCTTTCACATTCGTCTCAGTTATCGCAATTCATATTCTGTCGCAATTTTCTGTATAATTTTTGACATTAGTTTGTAAGCTTCACCGTTTATTTACGATAGTTTCGCTCGAGAGTTCAAAGCAACAGTATCTCAGTCATCATCTACCTTTTGTTCAACCTTGTTTTTAGCCCACCTTGTAAGCATTTCGCGTTGTTATTTCATTAGTTTCATTACTGTTATTTGCATTCCTTAGTAAAAGAAATGGGACGCCTTGTAACTCCGCAGACTCTCCTGATTATATTACTTTTTTTACCATTTAAATTCAGGCGCGTGTGCGGGGTTTGCTCTGGCAAATGGTGATTGGCTAGGAAGAACAATTGCCTTCTATCAAGTATTTTTCCAGCAGGGGAGGGTGGCTTTGGGCAAATGATGTATCGGTCCCTAGGAAGGTCACTCCAGGACCCCCGGGATGGAATTTTTTTGTACAGTGCCCAGGCTTCATTTTCTTGGCCGCGCGTTGATCTGGCCCGGCTGCTTCGGCGAGCGTATTCTCGGTGTGTTTGGATTATATTCTTCGAGTTTGTCAAAGTCTGTGGGATTCGTTTCTCTATCTGGGAAAGCTTCATTGGTTTCTATATCTGCTGCTATCCTATTTCTACGATCCTGGCATGTTTATTTTCCGTTGGAGTTCGAATTTCGTGGAAAAAGTTGTGTTGAATGATAGCATGGGTTACCTGTGATGTTATAGAGAATTTTACGTTTTATTAATATTATAGCACGGTCAATCTTCCTGGAGTGATTTTGTTGTTCAAGATAAGAGATGCTAGTGGAGAGAGAAAATACTTAATTACAGCGAGTAATTTAATGGAGCTTCCGTTAACCGTAAATAAAAGTAGTAACAACGTGTTTGAAATGTTCTTTTATTCGTTTTATATAGTATTATAGCATTGTTTGTTTAGATTTTTTCCCCTGGGGAGGGGGCTTTTTTGACACTTTTGATTGACCTTTCGTTTCCCACCCTGGGGAATTTGATTGAAAAATTTTAAAATTTGGGTTCAAAAAAATTAAAGGAAAAAATAAGGAAATCATCATAGCCCACCCTCTAGATAAATTAATGAATGCTCCCTTATTTTGTTTTGTCATTCAGCACTCAAGATGTTCACTTGCTAGCTGTAATAAGAGAATCGAAGTTGAGGGGGTCATCTTTTCAAGGACTTTCTTGTCTCGTTTCTCTGTTGGCACCAAGTCTGCATTTCGTTTTGCTTAACATCTGTATTTATCATCACATGAAGACAAGTAAATAAAGTAGAGAGTATTTGTGTACAATGAACTTGTGTCCTCTTTATAGATAATATAATATTGAGCATCTTTATTTGCCCATATATTTTCTATTGGTATGAGTCATAGAATGTCTTATAACTGGACTGAAACTGAAAATGGCATATTTGTGATAACAAAGCCTGATGCAGTCAATAGATTTTAAAAGCTTCTGCCACTATTTGTTTAATGATTGTGTCAGTATGTACAATCACATGTTATCACATATTTTTTTGGATTATAAAAACTCTTCAAAATGTGAAATTCATGCATGTTTACAAATCTCCTGTAATCAGGGCTGGGGCGACATAGATTGAGATGCCTTTCCTTTCTCCTCACCCCAATTAATAATTTAAATATGGTGTCATAGGTCTCATCATACTCACAGTCCACTCTATTATACAGACACTGATGGGACCATAGAAATTGTCCATCTTAATTTAGAGAAAATTTAAGGGCTTTTTTCTAGGGAACAAAGCAAGCTGTCTGTCATGATGAGCAAGGTTGTGCTCGAAGGAACATTGAAATGAGCCCAGTTCTCTGAACCTGTAAAATCTAGGCTGCCCAGCATATGATTTGTATGAAAAGTCTGAGATTTTCTAGTCACCCAAAAGCAAAAGTTAGGTGCCAGGGGGCACAGGGCTCTGCTAGAGCACAACCTTGATCAGGTGTCTGTATGAAGCGGTTGTCTGTAAAGAGGGCTTTTGGGTTACCAGTTATTGCAGAGGTGGATCCTAGTAGTACAGTAAAACCCCCTGACTAAAAACCTGAATTTTAAGAACCTGTTAGGCTAAAATATGCCAGATGAGCCCCCTCTATATAAAAATCAGTTTAGCCTAAAATTTGAAACACGTTCTTATTTTTGAAATCTATGAAAAAAATTCTGTACACTTGAGCAGAGATAAATCAATATTTAGAATCTTCTTTGGAGACAAAGCTGTCTTATCATGCCAACTGCAATGTAAATGCCAATGTTTACATTTAAATACACTCCTTTTATGTCCATTCTCACATAGCATTTGGTATGCAGACTTTATATGAAGAATAAGGTGAAACACAAATACTCTTAGCTACATTTTTTCTTCAGAAAATATGAACCCATTTAAAAACCTAAATAGCCTAAACGTGTGCTAACTACTATTTATATAAGAATCTGTTTAAGCTTACTTAGTTAATTCAGGTTCTTAGTCTCATGATTTTACTGCCCCATTGTTCCACTTTTTCTATTTCCTTTCCCTGTCACCATTTTTTCAGCCGTCAGGTTTTCCAACATCAAAAGTACATTCAATGATCAAGCAATTTATATTTTAACTTGAAGCCACCAAAATATGCAAATAATTTGCTTGATATATATTAAACAGTGTAAACGGGTAAACAGATTGAATGACATCACTTAGCCTGTGTGCCAGGCATTTCAAAGAAAAGGGAAAGTGGGTCTTGGTGCAAGAGAAATGTGAGGGAAGGAGGGAGGGAAATGCCTGCCATACAGAAGACTAATTGTTTTTTGCGTTATAAACATCAACCAGGGGAATGTTGAAATCACTCTCTCCTTCCTCGTGCACTCTTCGCATTTCTCTTGTGCCTAAAACCCCTCTCCCTTTCCTTTTAAATGCCTGCTACAGAGGCTAATCACCACTGAATAAAACAGGGACAAGGCAAGAAACTGACAAAGTCATAACATCCACACAACAACACACACCAATCTTGGAAGTAGACTGGAAGTAGATAATGATTTTCTTTTCTCAAGAGTGATGTGCATATTTCTCTGAATAAAAGTAAAGTGCAAGCTTCGTGGATGTTATGAAACTCTTCTTCTACATTGCACTATTCTTGCAATTCTCCCAAAAACCTTTTTTCATAAAGGATGGCTGGTTTCAAAATGCACAGGGCTTAACTGTGTAATCAAACTTATCATTTAATTCAATACCTGTAATTCTTATCCTACTGATTTTATACCTGCATAAAGGGAATCATATGTATGACTGCAATTTTATTATGCTCTTTTTAGTCCTATTACAAAAACAGACATTCCTACATCAGAGTACTCATCAGCCTATTTATATACCAACTTCGAACATTTTATGCTCACCTAATGCTATTGTTTGGAGGAACCAGTCGCTGCTGCCCTGCTATTTTGTGATCAGCTTGTGATTTAAGTAATGGTAACAGGACTGAGTGGAGTCCAATTCGGTCTGTAATCATACGAGTGATTAACAAAATCGGACGACCGCGTACTCTGGGAGTCCGATTTGTTTAATCACAAGTATGATTACAGACCGAATTGGACGAGAACAAGTTCTGTTACCTTATTAATCATAACTTTAACAAAATTTGTGATATAATAGGCTATTTTTTAAATCAAAACACAAGAAATTCGAAATTTTGTTTTGCTAGCAGTGAAAAACAAAAAGCCATTTAAGCACGTGTGTGATGGCGCGTACTGTCCAATTACTTAGGCAGGACGCGTACCTTCCTATCAAACTGTCCAATTAAAGCTGAAACCAGGGCAGTTGATAGCCAATCAGATTTGAGAATTTTGTTATAGTTATGATTACAACAGTAACACTTCCAGTAACATGTCACATTGGTCTTCGCGAGGCTACATCTTCCCAGGAAAACATGCCGGTTTCAATTCGGAAAAAGTATCACAAAACGTGGGGCGCGCTGGGGAGCGCCAAAAATAAGTGTAGAACAAGGTTTGTAGAAACACTTACAACTATCTTCTACTTTTGACGGGCAATATAATGGAAATTATAGCTTCTTAAAAACTGGGTTCAAATTTCATGCTCTTACAGGAGGAATCTTCGGGCCCCACGTTTTAGATTGAAATGAAGAATATTGATTTGTTTTTCTTCACAGAAAAAATCTAAACAAATATTAGCTTATGAAATCGAGAAAAACAATCTAAGGAAAGAACTGTATCTATTGAAAAACAAAGCATATAACCTGCGAAATTTCTCGACCTTCGCCACCATCTTGAAAATTTTGAATCCACAATGCATCGCAATCGTAGTGCGCACACCACCTGCAAACCGCGCAACATGTACAGATTTACATCTTCGACACTGTCAACAACAACAGTCCTATTCAGGACTACGTTCACCCGGACGATCATACTCAACCAACTTATGAAATGACCTCCTGGGTTCAAACCTTTCACAGATGTACAGATTTTGATGCAAAAAGTAGAACTACTCTCTGTTTTCAGCAACAACTTTTCGCAGCCTACAACAACCTGTTTTGCTGCAAAACAGGTTTGATTTATGGGTGGTAAGAAGTGCAACACAGCTTTTCGTCTCGTATAGCAGCAATGTTGCAAAACAAGTTGCACGTTTTTGTTGGCCATTTTACTGTATCTTTAAACAAGGCTGGGTAAAGTTATATTCTAGGCGGGCTCTTCTTTCAACTCTGCCTATCACAGCCTCACAGAAATTAAAATACATGTAAACCAATGAGGTCTCGAAGCCGGTAATTACATGTCCTAAGAGCACTTGATGCCTAGTGCGAAAAACCGGCCCGTGCGAGCAAGTCTTCACAATGGTGAGTTTACGGATCAGGACAGCAGAAAGAGGAGGACGGCAAAACGGTTGTGTGTGACAAACGTGACAGGGCTATTACTTGCATGTTCTGTTGTGATCTTCACTAAATATCAATGTTTTTTAGTCTTTTACAAAAAGATCTGTTTAAAGGAAGTTGACGTTTATTGTGTCAAATTTTTCTCAAACAAAGTTATTGTCACGCTTGTCACACAAGGTTTGCCGCCTTCTTTCCTCTACCGTCCTGCGTAAGTTCACTAACAGCAAATCACGACTGCTTTTGTGGGGCAAGATTTCCATCCAATCGCAAAGCATTGAAATACAAAACCAAATAAGACTGGCCAATTACAATTAATATGCGAGGAAATTCAAATGAGCCAATCTGATCTCGAAACAAATACATGCAGCCACCGCCAAGCACGGGAAGAAGTGCGAGCAAGTCGCGATAGATTTTCGTTTCTTCTGATTGGTTAGGAAATTAGCGAGAGATTTTTCAACCAATCACAAAGCGTAGAAGTTTAAAGCACAGCAATCACCAACAATTCCTTTTGATTCGCAATTGTGTGAAAGGCGCTTAAAGGCGCTTACATTCCTATTTGCATTTTCTGTCGCTTTGAACCCTCCTCTCCCCTCCCTTTTCAACCCAACCCCTGCATACTCTTGACTTACAGGGGATAGGGTCATACAATACTTCAGTAAAATTATTCTGACCTGATGCTCCGTTATCTGCATGTACAGCACCAGAAAGTATATAAGTTCATCTAAAAACGACTTGACAGTCTCCTTAAATTCGGGGGTTTCTATAAGTCCATGAAAGAACTCGAAAATACTGATCACAAGGTTCTCAAATCCAAGCGCTTCTCCTAAAAATTAAAAAAAAAAATGAAAATTTTCATAAGTACCTATATAGGTACGTGCCGGGCATGGATTAAATCCCTTGGGTTTTAGGAGGCCAGTTTTCCTTTTCTCAAATGGAGTAACGGTTGACAAACCTTCACAGAATAAGCCAATCTTGAATTGAATGGGCGCACTCACTTAGGGACAACTGTGACCGTTTATGCCAGCATATTCTTTAGTACAAAATACTATATATCTGACACATCAGGCCCAATGCCGGAATAATACTTGAATTATTTTTTAGCCTAATACTCATATTTTTTGAAAGAGTCAGAAGTTCTATTGCATTCATCTGAAAAATTGAATGCCAATATTTCTACCCAACCCCTGCTTTGTACAAAGTTGATAAAAGTGCAGCAAATTCTCCATTTGCACATCTCCCATCTTGTTTGCTTCCCCCTCCCCCACCACCACACACACGAAAAAACTGCATAAGCATTGTGTTCAGTTTCTCTTGGGTCTGCTGAAATACTGAGGAGAAAATTAATAAAAACCCAAGGATATGCAAAATTTGGGTATTACTTTTTGGTATTATCAGAGATGGGTGAATGGCGAATACATCAGACCGTCAGAGACTAGTGTCACTTGTGCCCAGAATATTTTCTCAAGGTTGAAAGCCTAGCTTCCCCATTTGCAAGGCTTCACAGCAGTTCATTCTCTAACTGGAGATAATAGTGTCACTTAAGCCGTGCACAACTGAGTCCATAATACTTTCAGCTGGCTATTCTTTTGAGTGTAATACCTTTGCTTCATGGGCAACACCAAAAGGCTTAATAACAATTTTACGAGCATCTGACACCCTACTCCAGGACCGACTTTAGTTCTGGTAAATACACAGAGTAGAGAGAAAGAATAAATTGCCATCCATAATTTCACCATACAATGCCAGATGCCGCTTAATTTGAAATAATTATGCTTCTTACCATCAGAATCTACTAGATCATCAGCATCATCAGTGTAATTTACAACTGTGCGAACATAATGATCTGCATTCTGTGTTAATGTGTTCCACATGTGTGACAAAATATCCATCAGATGTGGAGCCATTTGCTCGGGAAACTCTTTTACCAGAGTAGTGAGGGCCTGAAAGGTTTTAATCCAGGTTTCAATGGTAAGGGTTTTTTAAATTAACCAAAAATAGATAAGAAAAAAACAACAACAACCAGAACAATAATGTAAGAAAATGAACTTCTTGCTACAGGTGTCCACAGATTTTCAATGTGGTTTGTGCCAATGTCATTTCACGAAAGTCTGTATAAGTTCTGGAGCCAGGGCAAATTTTAAACTCAAAACCTAATAAATGGTTGTGCTGGTGCTAGTTCACAGACCAGTCTAATTTATCACTTTAACCAACAGTTTTTGTAATTACCTTCAAAACTATTTAAACTTCAATCATGGGTCAGACATAAACACAGCAAACAAAAAGCTTTCCAGGCCCGGTAATTTCCATGAGAAACTGGTCCCAAGCCGCTTTTTAAGGTATGTCATTTATATACACACTGTAGTTTATCAGCAGCTGTAACTGTTAGCAAGAGGCAATTACAGTGACAACTGATACAAATTACCCTTTATCATCATCATCATTATTATTATTATTATTATTATAAATACTTGATAATGGTAGCATGCTGTTGTCAACATGCCATTTTTTATCACCCATTTTTACGTTAGAGTGTTTTGCAAAATCTTGTTATTGTAAATAAATGAAGCATAACTTATTAATGCAAGAATATTGATGCAGACCTGGATGGATCATAAACCTTTGCTAAACTCTCTCGTTCAATAGTGTCAAAGTTTCAAGAATAATTTTTCAACCTTAATTACTTTCATCTTCAAGCCACAATCAACAGTGGCACTGCCTTCCTGTATGGCCAGCACCTGAACAAATGCTTTTGTGAACTCTGGAAGCATGGGGAAGCGTGCAGCAATGCCCTGAAATGAATGTTGATCAAATGAAAAATTAACGCCATACTGCTCAAAAGTAAGTTACATGTCCCATCTCATTTCTTGTGAGATGAGTGTCTCATCTTGACAGAAAAGGATGAGCATGGTGAGAATCACTAAAGCTGCAATCTCGGAATAAATTAATTACAAATGAAGCTCAGTTCCTCTACGTCTGAGAGAACAAAACTTGGAAAGAATCTGATCAGAATACACATCGACATTTTTCATTCATGCTTGACAGGTTACTCCACATGTACCTGTATGGTTCCTCCCCACCCCTCTTCCCAAAAGAATACAATAATGCTTATTATTATTTGAAGCAAATTTTTCTTCCTTTTCATTGGCCAAGAGCCCACCACGTGACCAGCAAATAACTGCCTACAAATAATGGTCTGCTCATGCGCAATGTCATCCAACTGTGTTTGGCTGCAAATAATATTCTGCTCATGCATAAAAGAAACCACGTTTTTCTTCTTCTTGGAATCGCTCTTGCATGAAAATAGAAGCTTCCCGAAGATATTTATTGTGGATATTGATACTTGTTTTAATATAAATCTAGACCACCCCCCTAGGTAGTGAACATGGGGTCTGACGAGCTTTAACTAGCCATTGGCAAAATACACTGAGGATGTAAAATTACTACAATATAACTGATAGTCACAAGATTTAAGCAACCAATCAGATAGAGCTAGGTTTTGTAAATTTAGTTCTAATAGCATAACTCCTCGGGTATACACGCAGTTTATGGCATAAGCAAGCAGAGTTCAGAAGCAAGATTGTAAGCATAGTGCAGATACAAATTTTCCCATCCCGCCACTCCCACGGACAGTCTTCTGGTCTTTCTGTTGTTTGTATTCTTTTATATGATTTGACTGTAGTTTTAAGTATTTGTTTTAATCAGTTATCTTGGGTGTATTTTCTTGCATTCAAGTGTTTTTTGTTGTAATAAAGACTGTCACATCCCAAAGTGTGTGTGCGTGGTGGATTAGACAAAACAAACTCGGTGACTGAATGATAAAACAATTATAGAACTCGGTTATCGCAAATATTGTGATTTGTCAGTGTCTCACACATCCATTATTTGCCAAAGCCGTTCTGCTCGCCACTGACAAATCATGACATTTTGCTCAACTTCATCAAATAATAATTGTAAGCAAAGGGTCGCATACTTGTAACATTCACTTTGTGGTCTTTGTTTTGAAGTCTTTAGGACTAAGGGGTATAAGAGGTCTCAGAATCTTTATTTGTAAAAGACCCTTGAAGTACCAAGAGTGAACAAGATCAATAACATCAATTGATATTGATATTGATACATGTACATAATGAAGAGAGGAGGTTATGAGAATTACGAGTTATAAAATTAATGATAACCCATGTTAGGGAAAATGCTTAGATCTCAACACAAAATTTGTTTTAAGATCTAAGAGAGAATTTAATTCTCTCCACTAATTTCTTTAGGCCCTTTAGAAAATGTTGGAGATTAGTAAAGAGAATTTGTATGTCTAGATATTAAGGGGCTTAAAGGGTCAAGACATGCATGACTGTTCCATCTCTAATAATTATGCTGTGTACACTGTTTGAGAGCTAATTATCAAGCTCTGTTACATGTACAAGAAGAACAGTGCATTTGACGCCCAAATACATGAAAGTTCTCATATTTGAATTTGAATAATCCTAGCTTGTTCACTCTGCAACAATTTACACATCTGTGTTTACTAATAACTGGCACAACACTCACACCAGTCTCTAACCCTTTAAAAAGTAAGAAGAAACTATTACATGTATATCAATTTATTTAATCCTCACCATATTATGACGTTCCATGGCACAAATCTGTGACGCACAGGTATTAAAAATCTCAGCAGCATGGGATCTGGTTCTTATGCTGTATAGCTAAAAAAGAAATTAACACTCTTATTATAGGCTTGAACAAAGTACATAATTAGTCTCACTTGCATAAGCAGCGAGACTCATAATCTGCAACCTGACACTCGATAAATCATGTTCACTGAACAGCCAGCTTACTATGTCTTTATTTCCTCACCATTACCTTTTAATGCATAATTTACAGGGCAGATGAGTAAAAGGTAAAGCAACCATATTTTACGTCAATAACTCATGACATTAATAACTGGTAAACCTGAGGTCAACGGTGCACTCATTTTACCCCCTCTCTCCATCAATTCTCTGTTTTAAGGGTATATAAAGCTAGTCAAAGCTACACTGACAGTAGAGAAGTTGAAACAAAGGAGTGATATCACCAGGGTTGAACTCGGGACCTCACGCACTGAAGGCCATGCACTAACCAACTGTGCCACCCTTTCTCCTATAGGAACATAATAGTCAACAATAGGAACAGGCCATGGAACTGAGCAAATAGAATACAACCCACCAAGTGCAAGAGAAAGGTTATGGGAATACTAAATACTGAATATTAAAAGCTTTCTTTTTTCAGGCACCATATTAAAAAACAGCCCTAGTGGCTACTTACTGGAAAAGACCTTTATGTCAAAGCTGAGTTTCTCCTCAGCTAGGACAATAATGTGTAGTACAAGGCTAAAAGTCACAACATGAACAGAATCATCCC